GGCATGAGGAAAATAGACCTTGGCATTTGGGGATTGCTGGAATGTATAGTTTCCCTGCCATCAAAGAGCATTTTGAACTTCAACAGAAATGGAATTGAACCAAACTTGGCATGCAGAAATCCCATGACTAACAGAAAATACCAGAGAGGTTTGGGGAAAATAGACCTTGGCTTTTGGGAGTTCTGGGGATATATAGTTTCCCTGCCATCAAAGAGCATTTTGAACGTCAACAGAAATGGAATTAAACCAAACTTGGCATACAGAAATCCCATAACTAACAGAAAATACCAGAGAGGTTTGGGGAAAATAGACCTTGGCTTTTGGGAGTTCTGGGGATATATAGTTTCCCTGCCATCAAAGAGCATTCTGAACTCAAACAGAAATGGAATTAAACCAAACTTGGCATACAGAAATCCCATGCCTAACAGAAAATACCAAAGAGGTTTGGGGAAAATAGACCTTGGCTTTTGGGAGTTCTGGGGATATATAGTTTCCCTGCCATCAAAGAGCATTCTGAACTCAAACAGAAATGGAATTAAACCAAACTTGGCATACAGAAATCCCATGACTAACAGAAAATACCAGAGAGGTTTGGGGAAAATAGACCTTGGCTTTTGGGAGTTCTGGGGATATATAGTTTCCCTACCATCAAAGAGCATTCTGAACTCAAACAGAAATGGAATTAAACCAAACTTGGCATACAGAAATCCCATGACTAACAGAAAATACCAGAGAGGTTTGGGGAAAATAGACCTTGGCTTTTGGGAGTTCTGGGGATATATAGTTTCCCTGCCATCAAAGAGCATTCTGAACTCAAACAGAAATGGAATTAAACCAAACTTGGCATTCAGCCTCAACAACAACAACAACAACAACGAGCTGGGAGAGACCTCTTGGGCCATCTAGTCCAACTCCCTTCTGCCTTCATGCATGAAAAGCACAATCAAAGCACCCATGACAGATGGCCACCCATAGATAATAAGAAAAACAACAGATTTGGAAGGGACCTCTAAAGGCCATACAGTCCAACCCCCTTCGTTCTACTTTCATGGAGGGAAAGCACAATCAAAGCACCCTTGACAGATGGCCATCCAGCCTTAATAATACAATAATAATAATAATAATAATAATAATAATAATAATAATAATAATGAGAGCTTTCACCTCTTGGCCCAGGAAGTCAGGCAGGCAGGCAGGCAGGCAGGTTGCTGAGCTGAGGACCTCCTTCACTGCGCTCCGTTGGGGCCCAGGAAGGACAGAAGCAGCATGAGGAAGGAGCCTGCCTCTGGCAAAGCTGCTTCAGCCTGAGTGGAGCGGCTGGGAAGCGTACCTGCTGCCGCCGCTTCCCACATGGCTGCCTCCAGCCTCACAGCCAGGCCACGCGGTTGTGCCTCCCTCACCTGCTTGGCCTGCTTGCCAGGCCCGACGGACGGCGCAAGCCAGGCAAGGGGCCTGGCCTCTCGAGAAGCCCCTCGCCTGCTTGCGCCGCCCGTCGGGCAGGCAAGCAGCCCAAGCCATGCTCCTAGGCAGGGCCTAGGCCCTGCGGGGAGCGTTTTGGCGAACTGGCGCCTCCCCCGAGCCCGGCGAGAAGCACGAGCCGGCCAAGCCGTGCTCCCAGGCAGGGCTTGGGCCCTGCGGGGAGCGTTTTAGCCGACTGGCGCCTTCCCCGAGCACTTTGGGATGCGCGAGCCGGCCGAGCTGTGCTCCCAGGCAGGGCCTGGGCCCCGCAGGGAGCATTTTGGCTGGCTCGTGCCTCCCCGAGCCTGGCGGGAAGCGCGAGCCATCCACCCTGTGGGGAGCCATTTTGATGAAGGGGCGGGGCCAACGGAGACTGCCTCGCGACCCCTCCAAAATGGCCAGGCGACCCCCCGAGGGGTCGCGACCCCCAGGTTGAGAACCGCTGCTCTATGACGAAGAGCCCTTGATCACAGACTTCCTCCTTCCTTTGATCGCCAACATTTTCTGTTATTTCCTCTATGGTGATGTTAAATACCTCCCCGCTTAAGCAGTGCCTAATTTATCTATTCACAGCTCACAGCTGTTTTCATAGTAAACTGGGCTGAAGGTCGGGTGCTCACCCCGACTCAGGCTTCAAACTGCCAACCTTTCGATTGGTAAGATCTATTGCTGCTGATGATTAACCAGCTGTGCTAAAGCCCGACCCTTTTTTAAAAAATTGGGATATTTTGGAAAGAAACGTCACATCTATAGAAATGAGGATCCCAGCAGCCCATTCAACACTACCTCAACACTTTCAATAATAGTATTTCCCAGTCCGTTTATTTGATTTTGGCACTTTCCTTGGGCTCCTTTCAGGATTTATTGTACTCATTGAGCCTGAATCCCAGCTATGTTCCTTTATTTCAGCCTGGTGTGGGATTCCTGTGAGAGTATCGCCTTTCCGCTGGTGTACCGTGCGCCTAGCGCACCAGCAGACAGCCTATCCCACCTGCTTGAGACTGTGTCGGAGTTGTCCTTGAGGTTCCCCAGACTTATCGTCTTGGGGAATTTCAATGTCCATGCTGATGCAGACTCTTGTCCATTAGCAGCTGTGGACCTAGTGTCTACCATGGAGACATTTTCAGCGCAGGAATTCAAGTGACCCAAGCCTCCACAATAGAGGTTCCATGGTCGGATCACTGCACCCTGAGTGTCCGGTTGGAGCATGCCTACCCACGCTGCAAGGGCGCCGAGCCAATCTGGGCTCGCCGAAGGAGACTTATGGAACCCAGTAGGTTCCGGAATGCTCTGAGGGATCTGGCTGCCGTGCGGGGCATGGGACAGAGACTGTGCTTGTCTCCATCACGGATCACCTTCGATGCTAGCTTGACCAGGACAGGTCAGCACTGCTTGTGTTATTGGATCTCACAGCAGCATTTGACACAGTCGACCACAATCTTTTGACCCACCGCCTTGCTGTTGCTGGAGTCAGGGGGAGAGCTTTAAACTGGCTGTCCTCCTTTCTTCACAACTGTGGACAGCGAGTGGAGAGGGGAGGCCTGGTCTCTGAGAGGTCCCCTCTATCTTGTGGGGTTCCTCAGGGGGCCATTCTCTCTCCTCTGTTATTTAACATCTATATGCGACCACTTGCTCAGCTGGTTTGAGGTTTTGGGCTTGAGTCTTATCAGTACGCCGATGACACTCAGCTGGTGCTGAAGATGGAAGGCCGTCCGGACTCTGTACCCTATTGTTTCCATCAGTGCCTCAAGGCCGTTACTGGATGGCTGCGTGCCAGCAGGTTGAGGGTGAATCCAGCAAAGACGGAGATCCTATGGCTGGGTCGACCGGGCAGTGGGGACATCCATCTGCCCACCCTGGATGGCGAGGTGCTATGCCCGTCATCATTGGTAGAGTCTGGGAGTCCTTTTGGACCCTCTGCTGACGATGGAGGCCCAGGTCTCCGCCGTTAGCAGAACCGCCTTCTTTCATCTGCAGCAGGCTAGACGGCTGGCCCCCTACCTGTCCAGGGACGACCTAGCTACGGTGATCCAGGCCACGATCATCTCAAGACTGGACTACTATAACGCCCTCTACATTGGCCTTCCTCTGTCGGTGATCCAGAAGCTCAAGTTGGTACAAAATGCAGCCGCTCGGCTTCTTGCGGGAATTCCCATGAGATGCCACATAACCCCAAAGATGCCACATAACTACAGCTGCATTGGTTACCAATTGAGCACCGGATCACTTTCAAAGTGATGGTACTCCCCTTTAAGGCTTTGCATGGTCTTGGGCCGATGTATCTGAGGGACCGCCTCACCCCCTACCAACCCCAGAGATCCCTCCATTCTGAGGACCAAGATCTATTGGAAATTCCCAGTGTCAAAACCTTGCGTCTAACAGCAACCAGACGCAGAGCCTTCACAGCAGTGGCACCATCACTCTGGAATACTCTGCCACCTGAAATCCGTGCCTTGCGGGACTTACCAGCTTTCCGCAGGGCATGTAAGACATACCTGTTTCAACAGGCTTTTAATGTTTGATATTGTTGTTTTTAAATAGTTTTAAATTGCTTTTAAATTTTGTTAGGTTTTAGCTATTCTTGTAAGCCGCTCTGAGCCCCAGGGGAGTGGCGGCATATAAGTTTAAATAATAAATAAATAAAATATTGTTTTTGATGTTGTTATTACTCTGTTTGTTTTATCTTCATGATCGCATCTCCTTCTATGAACCGGCATGAACTCTAAGATCTTCTGAGGAGGCCTTCTTTTCGCTCCCACCACCGTCACAAGCACGGTTGGTAGGGATGAGAGAGAGGACCTTCTCGGTGGTGGCCCCTTCATCTGGAACCCCTTCCAAGGGAAATAAGACAGGCCCCATCCCTCCTCTCCTTTCGTAAGAGCTTGAAGACCTGGTGGTTTATTTATTTATTTATTAAAAAACTTTTATATACAGTTCTTCTCTAACCTCCATAGAGGGACTCAGTACATTTCAACAAGCCTTTGAGAATGACCAGTTCTAGCCCAGCCCCAAACATTGTTGAATATCACCTTATACTTCCTACCTATTACCCCAATCATCCCTCTAATAGGCCCTGGAAATGAGCAGCCACAGACCCGTACCTGCTATTGCTGTTAGCCTGTTATAGCACTGTACTTAATTCCCGGTCCCCTCATATTTTGAGTTTGCACAAGCCTCAGCCTGGCCTTTTAATTGCTCTGAACACGCAGGATTATTTTTAATATATATGTGTTACTGTGATAATTTTATGCTTATGTTGTTTTGTTAATTTTATGTTATGCTGTTTACTCTGTATGTTTTGGTGATGTTGCTATGAGTCCCCCTCAGGGAGATAGAGCGGTATATATATAAAGCTTTTCTAAATTAATTAATTTATTTTATCTGATATTTTAATTGCCTTTGTTTTTATCTGTAATTTCTGGTCTTGTCCCTTGTAAGCCACCCCAAGTCCCCTAGGGGAGATGGTTGACTGGGTATAAAAGTAAAGTTTTTGTTGTTGTTGTTGTTGTAATTATTATTATTATTATTAATTATTAATTATTTGAAGCACAACAAGATGAGTCCACAGCAGACACTCTGCTGGCTGTTGTATTGCCTCACACATCGGACACTTCCCAAGTGTCTAGGACTGTGTGATGTATCGGCGAATAATGCGTGCAGATCCCACTAAGGTGGCCTTCTGCAGCTGACAGATGGTAATTTTGTCAGCGCCGATTGTGTTTAAGTGCAGGCCAAGGTCTTTAGGCACTGCACCCAGTGTGCTGATCACCACTGGGACCACCTTAACGGGATTGTGCCAGAGTCTTTGCATTTCCATCTTTAAATCCTCATATCGTGTCATCTTTTCCATTTGTTTCTCTTCAATCTATTATTATTATTATTATTATTATTTTATTATTCAATGGCTAAAAATTGAAAAGAGCTTAAGAAGAACTAAAAATTCTGTTTTGGATGTTCTGCAATACCAACACAGCAAGAACACCCCCTCCCAACCAAAAGAGACCCAAGAAAAACTAGAAGTGATGAGGAGTTGTAGGTTTTTCCGGGCGATATGGCCATGTTCTAGAGGCATTTTCTCCTGATGTTTCGCCTGCATCTATGGCAAGCATCCTCAGAGGTAGTGAGGTCTGTTGGAAGTAGGAAAATGGGTTTATATATCTGTGGAATGACAAAGGGTGGGACAAAGGACTTTTGTGTGAATGTTTCAACTGACCACCTTGATTAGCATTTAATGGCTTGGAAGTGCCTGGGGGGAATATTTTGTTGAGAGTGATTTGATGTGCCTGATTGTTTCCTCTCAGTTGTTTTGCTGTTGTAATTTTAGAGTTTTTTTTTAAATACTGGTAGCCAGATTTAGTTCATTTTCATGGTTTCCTCCTTTCTGTTGAAATTGTCCACATGCTTGGGGATTTCAGTGGCTTCTCTGTGTAGCCTGACATGGTGGTTGTGAGAGTGGTCCAGCATTCCTGTGTTCTCAAATAATATGCTGTGTCCAGGTTGGTTCATCAGGTGCTCTGCTATGGCTGACTTCTCTGGTTGAAGTAGTCTGCAGTGCCTTTCATGTTCCTTGATTCGTGTTTGGGCAATGCTGCTGCGTTTGGTAGTCCCTATGTAGACTTGTCCACAGCTGCATGGAATACAGTAGACTCCTGCAGAGGTGATGAATCCAGAATGGCAGTTAAGACAATGAACTACAGTTCTCACAAGGTCCGAAGGAGCAGAACATTGGGAGGGAAAGCTTCATGGACATTGGGGCCTATCCACCCAATTGGAATGGTTACACCTTAGTGTGACTCGCTTGATGACAAGTGAGGGACATCTTCCGACCGAAGCTCTCGCCACACTCCAAACATTTAAATGGCTTCTCCCCCATGTGAGCTGCCTGGTGACAAGTGAGATGCATCTTCCGGCTGTAGCACTTTCCACATTCCAAGCACTGGAAGGGCTTCTCCCCTGTGTGAGTTACTTGGTGGCGAGTGAGGTGCACCTTCCGCGTGAAACGTTCTCCACATTCCAAACATTTAAATGGTTTCTCCCCTGTGTGTGCGGCTTGATGACAAGCAAGGTGTGGCTTCTGACTGAAGCTTTTCCCGCACTCGGAGCACCGAAATGGTCTCTCGCCTGTGTGAATCCTTTCATGGGAGGTCAGGTGTGCCTTCTGACTGAAGCTCTTCCCACACTTTGAACACTGGAATGGTTTCTGCCCTGTGTGAATGATCTCATGTCGAGCAAGATCTGTTTTCTGAGTGAATCTCTTTCCACATTCCAAGCACTGAAATGGTTTCTCTCCTGTATGGATCCTTTCATGACGGATGAGGGTTCTCTTCTGACTGAATTTCTTTTCACACATCAAGCAGTGGAAGGGCTTCTCTCCTGTATGGATTCGTTCATGAGAGCTCAGGTGTACCTTTAGACGGAAACACTTTCCACACTCTAGGCAGTGAAATGGTTTCTCCCTGGTGTGAATTGTTTGTCCTTTCCCATCACCAATGATCTTTCCACACTTGCCACTTTGGAAAAACATCTCCCTTGTGTGCGTTCTCACATGAGAATTAAGGCTCGTTTGAGAACCGAAGCATCTTCCACAAAGGAAGCAAATACATTCATTTCCAGTTTGTGTCATTTCTTCAACCGAGATGTCAAAGATCTCCCCACTTTGAGAAGTGAGCATTTTGCTCCTTTTTCCTTGAGTGTTTTGTCTTTTCTCTTCCATCTTTTCGCATATGGGCTTTTCAAGCCACAATCTGCATATTTCTCTGTCATTCTCGTTCAGTTGCTCGTCACCAGCTGGAAGAGAGAGAAAGAATTGTGGAATGCCCTTGTGATAGATGGAGGTAGGCAGCAGAGTGTTAACACAATTGATTAGCTGGCACCCATTTGCATCAATATGAGGAACCTTGCTTGACCTTATTTATTTATTTACTATTATTTATTTATTTACACTACTTATATTCTGCCCTTCTTGGCCCACAGGGGACTCAGGGTGGATTACAATGTACCTATACATGGCAAACATTCAATGCCATAGACACACAACATATATAGACAGACACACACAGAGGCTATTTAACATTCCAGCTTTGTCATGAAGGTATTCTGGCCACCAGGGGAGATGTCGCTTCATTGTCTATTTGTGACACTGGTGATGTACTACCTCATTCTTTGCATGCTTGCTGGAGATTTTTATGGCGTCGTAAATTAGCCTCCCTGCATAAGCGGTACCTAAACTTCCTACTTGACAGATGCAACTGTCTTTCAGGCTGCAAGATTGCTCAATCTGTATTCTTATTGGTGGCTGGAGAAAACCATAATTTATTTATTTATTTATTTATTTATTTACTGCATTTGTTGACCGCCGCTCTCAGCCCTGGGGCGACTCGCGGCGGTGTACAACATATAAAAACAGTTTACAAAAATACACAATATAACAACCTAACCATATTACACATTAATCTAATCTAATCTAAATCACACTAACAAATCCGCACCGTCACAACATAGAATCGTAGCCAGTCTCATAATCCATAGTCCGTTCCAGTTGTCATTACCAGATTCGTGTAGCTCTCAATTAAATGCCTTCTCGAATAGCCAGGTCTTTAGGCTCTTACGGAAAGCCATAAGGGAGGGCGCCTGTCTGATGTCAACAGGGAGGGTGTTCCACAGCCGGGGGGCCACCACTGAGAAGGCCCTCTCTCTCGTCCCCGCCAGACGTGCCTGTGAGGCAGGCGGGATCGAGAGAAGGGCCTCCCCAGACGATCTCAAGGCCCTCGTGGGCTCATAGGCCGAGATGCGGTCCAAGAACCAGCACCTTGAATTGGGTCCGGTAGCAAATCGGCAGCCAGTGGAGCTGGGACAACAAGGGCGTTGTGTGCTCCCTGCTACCCGCTCCCGTTAGTAACATGGCTGCCGCACGCTGAACCAGCTGAAGCTTCCGGGCCGTCTTCAAGGGCAGCCCCACGTAGAGAGCGTTGCAGTAGTCAAGGCGGGATGTGACCAGAGCGTGTACCACCGTGGCCAAGTCAGACTTCCCAAGATACGGGCGCAGCTGGCGCACGAGCCTGAGCTGTGCAAATGCTCCCCTGGTCACCCCTGAAACCTGGGGATCCAGGCTCAACGATGAATCCAGGGTCACACCCAAGCTGCGAACCTGCGCCTTCAAGGGGAGTGCGACCCCGTCCAGCACAGGCTGTAACCCTATACCCTGTTCGGCCTTGCGACTGACCAGGAGTACCTCTGTCTTGTCTGGATTTAATTTCAGTTTGTTCGCCCTCATCCATACCATTACAGCGGCCAGGCACCGGTTCAGGACCTCGACAGCCTCCTTAGTAGCAGGTGGAAAGGAGTGACAGAGTTGGACATCATCTGCGTACAGATGACACCGCACCCCGAAACTCCGGATGATCTCACCCAGCGGCTTCATGTAGATATTAAACAGCATGGGGGACAGTATAGAACCCTGTGGAACCCCACAGGTCAAAGGCTGTGGTGTTGAACAGCAGTCCCCCAATAACACCTTCTGGGTACGACCCTCCAGAAATGACTGGAGCCACTGCAGAGCAGTGCCCCCAAGACCCATTTCCGCAAGGCGCCCCAGAAGGATACCGTGGTCGACGGTATCGAAGGCCGCTGAGAGGTCCAGGAGCACCAACAGGGACACACTCCCCCTGTCTAGCTCCCGGCGCAGATCATCCACTAAGGCGACCAAGACCGTCTCAGTACCATGTCCCGGTCTGAAACCAGACTGTGCCGGATCCAGAATATCCGTGTCTCTCAAGAATACCTGGAGTTGTGAGGCCACCACGCTTTCCATGACTTTGCCCAAAAAGGGGAGATTGGAAACAGGCCGAAAGTTGTCAAATTTAGTGGGGTCCAATGATGGTTTCTTCAACAGCGGTTTTATAATTGCTTGTTTTAAGCACGCTGGAATCTTGCCTTCCCGAAGGGAGGCATTAACCACCACCGTTACCCACTCAGCCAATCCCCCTCTGGCCTCCTTCAGAAGCCAGGATGGGCAGGGGTCTAGGATGGACGTGGTGGGCCTCATTCCTCCAAGTATCTTGTCCACACCTTCGGGCTTCACAAACTGAAAAGAATCCAACAAAATAGGACAAGCAGGTGCTCGTGTCACATCCACAGAGACTGCATTTAACATGGTGTCCAGCTCAGAACGGATCAAAGCGACTTTGTCTGCAAAGAACCGAGCAAATGCTTCACAGCGCGTGACCGAATTGTCAGGGCTCCCGCCTGAAGTGGCGGGAGTTAAAAGACCTCTGACCTCTGACATAACATTTAGAGGAAAAGCTGGTTGTCTCAGGGATGCCCCTGGGGGTTCCCCACACTTCCTCCCCTAGTAGCCCATGCTTAGCAGTACACACCAACCCAACACCAACACTATTGCCTTGACCAAGGTTTGCCAAGTTAGGGATTTCTGTGAACAGACTCTAGAACAGTGGTTCTAGAGCCTGCGGGGGTCACCAGGGAGTGTCAGAAGGGTCGCCAAAGACCATCAGAAAACATAGTATTTTCTGTTGGTCATGGGGGTTCTGTGTGGGAAGTTTGGTCCAATTATTCGTTGGTGGGGTTCAGAATGCTCTTTGATTGTAGGTGAACTATAAATCCCAGCAACTACAACTCCCAAATGTCAAGGTCTATTTTCCCCAAACTCCCAGAGTGTTCACATCTACCCAATTTATATGCCGTGGATGTAGCGTACCTGGATTTCAGTAAGGCCTTCGACAAGGTCCCCCATGACCTTCTGGTAAGGAAACTAGTCCAATGTGGGCTAGGCAAAACTACGGTGAGGTGGATCTGTAATTGGTTAAATGGACGAACCCAGAGGGTGCTCACCAATGCTTCCTCTTCATCTTGGAAAGAAGTGACAAGTGGAGTGCCGCAGGGTTCCGTCCTGGGCCCGGTCCTGTTCAACATCTTTATTAATGACTTAGATGAAGGGCTAGAAGGCAGGATCATCAAGTTTGCAGACGACACCAAATTGGGAGGGATAGCCAATACTCCAGAGGACAGGAGCAGGATTCAAAACGATCTTGACAGATTAGAGAGGGATGGGCCAAAACTAACAAAATGAAGTTCAACAGTGACAAATGCAAGATACTCCGCTTTGGCAGGAAAAACGAAATGCAAAGATACAGAATGGGGGACAATGCCTAGCTCGAGAGCAGTACGTGTGAAAAAGATCTTGGAGTCCTCGTGGACAACAAGTTAAACATGAGCCAACAATGTGATGTGGCGGCAAAAAAAGCCAATGGGATTTTGGCCTGCATCAATAGGAGCATAGTGTCTAGATCTAGGGAAGTAATGCTACCCCTCTATTCTGCTTTGGATAGACCACACCTGGAATATTGTGTCCAATTCTGGGCACCACAATTCAAGAGAGATATTGACAAGCTGGAATGTGTCCAGAGGAGGGCGACTAAATGATCAAGGGTCTGGAGAACAAGCCCTATGAGGAGCGCTTAAGGAGCTGGGCATGTTTAGCCTGAAGAAGAGAAGGCTGAGAGGAGATATGATAGCCATGTATAAATATGTGAGAGGAAGCCACAGGGAGGAGGGAGCAAGCTTGTTTTCTGCTTCCTTGGAGACTAGGACGCAATGGAACAATGGCTTCAAACTACAAGAGAGGAGATTCCATATGAACACGAGGAAGAACTTCCTGACTGTGAGAGCCGTTCAGCAGTGGAACTCTCTGCCCCGGAGTGTGGTGGAGGCTCCTTCTTTGGAGGCTTTTAAACAGAGGCTGGATGGCCATCTGTCAGGGGTGATTTGAATGCAATATTCCTGCTTCTTGGCAGAAAGGGGTTGGACTGGATGGCCCATGAGGTCTCTTCCAACTCTTTGATTCTATGTCAAGTTTGGTCCAGATCCATCATTGTTTGAGTCCACAGTGCTCTCTGGATGTAGGTGAACTACAACTCCAAACTCAAGGTCAATGCTCACCAAACTCTTCCTGTGTTTTCTGTTGGCCATGGTAGTTTTGTGTGCCAAGCAGGGGCGGCTCAACCCATTACGCAAAGTAAGCATTTGCAGTAAGAGCCCAGGGGCGCTCTTGAGGCATTCTTGGGGAAAAATAGACCTTGACATATGCGAGTTGTAGTTACTGGGATGTATAGTTCACCTACAATCAAAGAGCATTCTGAACTCCACAAATGATGTAATTGAACCAAATATGGCACACAGAATTCCCACGACGAACAGAAAATATATATCAGTGATTGGTTGGGGGGGGGGGGGGCAGAAAAATACTGTTAGCTTACAGTTGAAAATTACCTAGGGCCACCTCTGGTGCCAAGTTTGGTCCAATTCATTGCTGGAGTTCAGAATGCTCTTTGATTGTAGGTGAACTCTAAACCCCAGCAACTATAACTCCCAAATGACAAAATAAATCACACACCCCCCAACCCCACCACTATTCAAATTTGGGCATATCGGGTATTTGTTCCAAATTTGGTCCAGTGAATGGAAATACATCCTGCTTATCAGATAATTGCATTACAATTAATAACAGGAGCAAAATTACAGTTATGAAGTAGCAAAATAATGTTATGGTTGGGGGTTACCACAACATGAGGAAATGTATTAAGGGGTCACAGCATTAGGAAGGTTGAGAAACACTGATCTAGAACCAACCAGAACAACAACTCCACTATCATTCAGAGACCAATGTTAATTATATGGGGTTTTGGGCACCTGAGTCCCTCTGCGGAGGTCGAGATAGGACAAGATATAAATGTCCAAAATAAATAATAAATAAATAATTTATGAACGATAAGGAAGAAGCAGACCTACCCAGAGAGGACACAAGGCCAAAATTCTCCTCCATCACTTCCCAGTGCAGGGCCCATTCTCTTGGGTCCAGCAGGGCACATTCCTCATCCGTGAAAAACACAGCCACGTCCTCAAAAGACACCTAAAGAAAGTCACATTATACATAAGAATCAAAGGCCAAGTGCAGTTAAAGAAGCTACACTGGACGAGAAAGATGGCTTTAGGCCCAGGGACACATTGAGGAGTCAGGGACAGAAACCTTCCCAAATCTTGCTCCCTACCTGATTTAGTCTTGTGGAAGATGCACCATGAGCATCACAATCAAGAAGCATTGGCCATGTCAATAGTGTGTCTCCTGTGAGGGGCACAAAAGGTAAAAGAGTGCTTGTGTTATATAGCATTGCTCTGTTTCTAACTGATGTCTGTCAGTACACAGACAATATCGCACACACAGAGAGAGAGAGTAAAAATCACAGTTTAATTTTGAGGTTGATAGAATGCCAAAATCTTGATAAAAGATATGTAAAGCCACATAAGAACCCCCCCCCCCCCAAAAAAAACAACAACAAAAAACAAAAAGGGAAATAGAATATGTTCAGGGATAACTAAATAACCAAAAACTATTGAGAGAGGGAAAAAGGGAAATTTTGTAGGGAAGTTGATACATAGCTTTGGTCCACTGACTTTAACAGGCTTTGGGCTACTCACTCTCCTCAGGATGACACTAGCTTTGTTCCACTGACTCTAACAGGCTTTGGGCTACTCACTCTCCTCAGGATGACAGTAGCTTTAGTCCACTGTATCTAATAGGCTTTGGCCTACTCACTCTCCTCAGGATGACACTAGCTTTGGTTCACTGTATCTAATAGGCTTCGGCCTACTCACTCTCCTCAGGATGACACTAGCTTTGTTCCACTGTATCTAATAGGATTCAGCCTACTCACTCTCCTCAGGATGACAGTAGCTTTAGTCCACTGTATCTAATAGGCTTTGGCCTACTCACTCTCCTCAGGATGACACTAGCTTTGATCCACTGCACCTAATAGGCTTCGGCCTACTCACTCTCCTCAGGATGACAGTAGCTTTGGTCCACTGTATCTAACAGGCTTTGGCCTACTCACTCTTTCAGTGCTTGACTTACACTTTTGTAATCAAAAATACCCAGTTAATATTTAATATTTCTGACAAAGTCTGTCACAAATCAAGGAGCACATTCCACTGCCAAACAGTTCTTCGTAATGTTTCAGTGGGATCTCTTTTCTTATAGTTTGGATCTGTTGCTCTGTCTCCTGGTCTGTGGTGCAGGAGAAAACAACCTTCCTTATCTATGTGACATCCTTTCAGATGTTGAAATTTGGCTATTATCTCCCCTCTCAAACTTCTCTTCTCCAAGCTAAACAAGCCTAGCTCCCTAACCTGATCCTCATAGGGTTTGGCATCCAAACTTTTGACCAACTTTCAGAGGGAACTGGAATGAGAAAAACTCAGAGCCTGGGACCTTAACCAGCTAGGCCTAAATACTGCCACATTTTGTCATCATGATTACACCCAATGTTCAAATCCATGAGTGACTTCCAAAGCATCTTTCGATTCAAATTCTCATGAGAGAACATTATTATTAAGGACTCCTTTGTCTACTTCTGTAGACAGGATCTTTGATGGCCTTTGATGATACATGTTCTTAGCTCAGGCCCCTGGTTCTTCCCCACAAAGCAAGATGGCAAGACCTGTTGGTGGACTCTGGGACTGTCTGGAAGTCAGTTACAGAAAGCATCATTTCCATTGGTCTCCACTTCCCTACTTGCATGTGGTTTTGTGTTGTGGACAATTATAACTGTGAAAGCATGATGAGTCTCACACTCCACAAAGTTGAGCATACTTAAGAAGCGGCTAAAAAAACCCCTTCTCCCTTCATCCTTACCCACTGAAGTGGACACTCTATTCCTGTCCAGCATTGTTCCCTTGATTTCGAAATAGCAGTCCTCTAAGTCAGCTTTCTCTGCCATAAAGAATTCCTGCACCAGAAGAAGCAGCAAGGATCACAAAGAGAAGGAGGAATTAGAAAAGGAATGGAAGAGGACACTGTCTGAGTGGGTCAGCACAGCAGGTAATTTTACAATATCTTTGAAAACAAGTCTACCTGGCTTCTTGCAACTACAGTCAGCTCTTCATTGGGATTAGGATCAGGCCTGTAGCGAGGGGGTGGTTTTAGGGGTTCAAAACCCCCCCGAAACGTTTCCGATTTTTTAAAAAACCTGGTTTACTCATGAATTTTAACTGGTTAACCAAATCCTCATGCTAAGTCTATGAGATGCAAAAAATTAAGAGTCCCTCCAGAACTGCAAGCACTGTCTCAGGCACTGTTTGGGACCCACCTACCTGCGTGACCACATCTTTGTGTACGAACCCACATGATCTCTTCGTTCATCTGGAGAGGCCCTACTCACGATCCCACCTGCATCGCAAGTGCAATTGGCGGGGACAAAGGATAGGGCTTTCTCGGTGGTGGCCCCTCGACTCTGGAACTCTCTCCCTAAGGACATCAGGCAAGCCCCATCGCTGGCAATTTTTAGGAGGAGCTTGAAAACGTGGTTGTTCCAGTGTGCCTTCCCAGAATAAGGAAACTCCTAAGCATTTTGTCACCAACGCACTTTATCAGAGAGCCAGGATAACTGCATGCCCATCCCCCTCCAAACACCTACCCTTTTCACCTGGTCATGGCCAGCACTTTTTAATTTTAATTATTACATTTGGCCCTGCCACAGATTTTAATTGCGTCATGGTGTGTTGTTAATGTTATTGCCTTGTTTTTGAGTTATTTTGCTGTATTGTTGTTGTTTTTACTGTTGTATTTGGGCTCGGCCACTGCGCCACCGGGGGCTCCTCGGGAGATGGTAGCGGGGTACAAATAAAGGATTATTATTATTATTATTATTATTATTATTATTATTATTATTGTCATTGTGGGGTGTGTGTGTTGAATGCTCTCATTAAGGAGGCCAGACTTGGTGGAGGTGGTTGACAGGGGCGGAGCTGCAGGCTATGGAAGGCTGCTCTCCCCCAGCTGTGCTCTTTGCTTCAGCGTGAGCTAGGAGGCAGGTTTCACACCCCCCCCCCACGAAAATTTCAAACCCCCCCCCCAAAAATTTCAACCCCTCCCGAAATTTTTTTCTGGCTACGGCCCTGATTAGGATCACAGGACCTCTGTGAAAGTGAGAAACAACAGATCTAGAAATTGGTATTTCTTAAAACTGAGGTAACACTTCTCTCAAAATGTCTAATATGGCGCTATGAGCAAGGGCAAAAGAGAGAAACGTGTCAAGTGGACGAAGTGTCAAGCTAACCCACCGGGACCACCTTCCACTTGGAAATCGATGTCCTCACTGCGAAAAGATGTGGATCAAGACTACATCTCTACACTCACCTACAGACACACCACCAAAACCCTACACTTGGAAGGCGATCAGATTTGCCCATGAGGGATCGCCGATGATGCTGATGATGATGATGAGATTAAGTTAGATCCTGTATAGATTAATGCAATGCACTCTACATGGGGTTGCCTTTGAAGACTGCTTGGAAGCTACAATTGGTCCAATGAGAGGCTACTCACCGGAGCGGCGTACAGGGAGCATGCCACCTCCCTGTTGCGTCAGCTCCACTGGCTGTCAATCTGCTACCAAGCACAATTCGAAGTGCCAGCTTTAGCTTATAAAGCCCTAAACCAGGGGTCCTCAAACTAAGGCCCGGGGGCCGGATGCAGCCCTCCAAGGTCATATATCTGGCCCTCGCTCAGGGTCAACCTAAGTATGAAACTACTTGAAAGCACACAATAACAACAGCAATCCTATCTCATCAGCCAAAAGCAGGCCCACACATTCCATTGAAATACTAATAAGTTTATATTTGTTAAAATTGTTCTTAATTTTAATTATTGTATTGTTTTTAAATGTTTTTGCACTATAAATAAGATATGTGCAGTGTGCATAGGAATTCATTCGTATTTTTTTCGAATTATAATCTGGCCCGCCAACAATTTGAGGGACTGTGACCTGGTCCTCTGTTTAAAAAGTTTGTGGACCCCTGCCCTAAACAGTTCCAGCCCAGCCTACCTGTCCGAACGTATTGCCCCCTATGAACCATCATGGAGATTAAGATCGTCTGGGGAGGCCCTGCTCTCGGTCCCACCTTCTCCGCAAGCGCGGTTGGTAGGGACGAGATACAGGGCCTTCTCAGTGGTGGTCCCTCACTTGTGGAACTCCCTCCCTAGCAATATCAGGACAGCTGCCTCCCTCTTAGTGTTTAGAAAGAGAGTCAAAACCTGGCTCTGGGAGCAAGCGTTGGAAAAATAGAGTGGTGCAGGAATGTGAGTATGGAATATGTGCAATTTGACTATGTATTGGCCTTTAGACTATGAGTCTGGATGATGTGATTCATTGGAATATATTTTTATTATTGGGTTGTTATACATTTTTCGGGCTATATGACCATGTTCTAGAAGCATTCTCTCCTGACATTTCACCTGCATCTATTGCAAGCATCCTCAGAGGTTGTGAGTTTTTTATTATACTAATGTTTTAATGTTTAACTTATGTTTTAACTGACGCGGTAGGTTTTAAGGCACCATGGAGGGGCCATTGTAAGCTGCCTTGTCTCCCCCTCGGTGTAGAGAAAGGTTGGATATAAATAAGGCAAATAAATAAATAAATAGGTTTCACTGGAAGCTGAACATAAAAATGCATCAGGGGATCTAGAGATTCCTAGAGAGATGTTCTCTTGAGGAAACCTCTAGGTCCTCCAGTGTCATTGGAGGAAGTAGACTATAGAGGTGCACTGAAGGGTCCAACGAGCAGCAGCCAGGATGTTAACTGGCGCTCCTTACAGAGAGAGGTCAAACCCTCCTGTTTAAGGAGCTCCACTGGCTGCCGTTTATCTTCCGAGCCCAATTTAAGGTGCAGGTGCTTACCTACAAAGCCCTGAACAGTTTGGGACCAGCCTACCTGCGTGATCGCATCTCCATCTACGAACCCACGCGCTCCCTTCGTTCATCTGGAGAGGCCCTGCTCGTGATCCTGCCTGCGTCACAAGCGCGTTTGGTGGGGACACGAGACAGGGCTTTTTCCGTGGTTGCCCCCCGACTCTGGAACACCCTCCCCAAAGATCTCAGACAGGCCCCTACATTGGCAGTCTTCAGAAAGAACTTGAAGACCTGGCTGTTCCAATGTGCCTTCCCCGAATAGGAAACCTCCAATACCAAGTCCAATAAGCACTTTATTAAAGCTAAGACTGTTGCACACCGCACACTGCACTTGCCCATAAGCCTCATATTCCACCCGTCACATCAGCACTTTTAATCTCTTGTACCCTTACTTTGGCCCCGGCCCAGTTTTATCATGTCTTAGTGGACTGTTCATTGTTTGTTGTTGTTTAGATTGCTTTAATTGTTTTTAATTTGCCTAGGTTTTGTATTGTTGTATTGTGTGTTAAGGCCTCGGCCTTTGTAAGCCGCATCGAGTCCTTCGGCAGATGCTAGCGGGGTACAAATAAAGTTTAATAATAATAATTTTAAAAAAGGGCTTTGAGATTCCAAGGGAGAACATTTTAATCAATCCGTTTACTATAGTGCCGAACTGAAGGACACAGAATTCCAAGAAAGAATATTTTAATCAAAGCCGTGAATACTCAAATCCACAAAAGTTAAATCTGCAAATATGGAGGGACGACAGCACTACATGAATCCCTCTCACCTGCTGCTCCTTGCTCTGCCTGCCTTCCTCTGCGTGGCTGAGGAGGAATCCTTCTGCCAGGGCCACGGCCTGGGTGCTGCTCTCCGCTCCGCACTCTCTCACCCAGCGCTCCATCTCCGCAGGAAGGACGGCCAGGAACTGCTCCAGCACCACCAGGTCCAGCATCTCCGCCTTGCTCTGCCTTTCTGGCTGCAACCACTGGCGGCAGAGATGGTAGAGTTGGCTACAAACTTTTCTAGGCCCCTCCATCTCCTCATAGCGGAAGTCCCTGAAGCGCTGGCGCTCAACGTTTGAGATCAGCATATCCTTCCACAGGCTGCTCCGTGCAGTTCTTTTCCGAAACGCCTCTGCCCTCTCAGCTTGAACAAGAGGAAACTCTGTTCTTAATCCAGATCCATAGGAGTCCTGCTTGACTGCAACTCCCATCCAGATTATGCTTCTCTTTTGCCAGACTCTCCTGCAAGGCAAAAGACGGGAAGAATTACACTGATGCCTTGAGTTAAGAGTTTAATCCAATCAGTAACTGAGCTCTTAACTCAAATCACTCTTATCTTAAAACAAATTTCCGTGCTGAAATGGTATTACTTCATTCCAGCCACCGGAAACCCCCCTCCGTATTTTTGTTACATGTTTTTAAAAAGGAATTTATAAATAATAAATAATGTGTAAATACATGTTCATATGGAACAATAACGAAAGAAAGATCAACTTTAAAATGGTAGAAATACAAAGTTGTGGCACAATGATAGAAGCACGAAGTGGATAGGCAGAGGCATCATTCCAGCCTCTCTCGCTCTCTTCTCCCTCTTCATGAAGCCAAACATGCCAGGAATAAAAAAACACACACAAAATAAACTAACTCAAAGTTCCTCAAAGCGGACAAGAGCAAAACGAACTGCAAAATGGACAAGAACATGAGGCATGGGGGCTGCTCCCTTGAAGTCCCAAAGCCCTGTTCTCTCACGCTAGCTCTTAACTCAAAATGCTCTGAATGTATGTCAAAGCGAAAACGGGGTCGAGTGAGGGCTCTTCACTCAAAATGCTCTTAGATTGGGATGCTCTTAAGTTGAGGTTCCTCTGTATAGGGAGAATTGAGAGCTCTACAAAGAAAGAAATCTATCTATAGTATGATAGCTGATAGCTGTGATGAACAGCTTATTCTATTCTTATTCTAGAGAAAGGTTTTGCTATCAAATTGAAGATGGCAATTACAGCCTTGGTGAATGACAGCCTTGCAAAAACAAGGTGTCTGATGAGGGAGCTCTTACAAGCACTTTCATGCCCTAGGGAGATTTTTCATAATCCAATGCAAGGTGGATTATGAAAGATCTCCCTACGGCATGAAAGTGTAATCTCTGTTTTTAACTGCCTGCCTCAGGGGAGCGTGCTTGCCCCATCAATGTTCAACATTTACACAAATGACCAGCCACTGCCAGAAGGGAAGGGTTTCATCTATGCTGACGATCATGCCATCACCGCTCAAGCAGAGAGCTTTGAGATGGTTGAACAGAAGCTCTCCAAAGCTTTAGGTGCTCTTACTGCCTATTACAGGGAAAACCAGCTGATTCCTAATCCATCTAAAACGCAGACATGTGCTTTTCATCTTAAGAACAGCCAAGCATCTCAAGCTCTGAGGATGACCTGGGAAGAAATCCCACTGGAGCATTGCAGCGCACCCAAATACCTGGGAGTCACTCTGGACCGTGCTCTGACCTACAAGAAGCACTGCTTAAATATCAAGCAAAAAGTGGACATTAGAAACAATATCATAGGAAAGCTGACTAGCACAACCTGGGGATCACAATTGGACATAGTGAAGACATCTGCCCTTGCGCCTTGCTTTTCTGCTGCTGAATAGGCATGCCCAGAGTGGAACACATCCCAGCACACTAAAACAGAGTATGTGGCTCTTAATGAGACATACCGCATTATTACAGGGTGTCTGCGCCCTACACCACTGGAGAAATTACACTGTCTAGCCCAGGGGTCCTCAAACTTTTTAAACCGAGGGCCAGGTCACAGTCCCTCAAACTGTTGGAGGGCTGGATTATAATTTGAAAAAAGCATGAATGAATTCCTATGCATATTGCACATATCTTATTTGTAGTGCAAAAAACAATTAAAACAATACAATAATTAAAATGAAGAACAATTTTAACAAATATAAATTTATTGGTATTTCAATGGGAAGTGTGGGCCTGCTTTCAGCTGATGAGATAGGATTGTTGTTGTTGTTGTTGTTGTTGTGTGCTCTTAAGTCGTTTCAGACTTAGGTTGACCCTGAGCTAGGGCCGGGTAAATGACCTTGGAGGGCCGTATCCGGCCCCCGGGCCTTAGTTTGAGGACCTCTGATCTAGACACTAGACTCCTATTGATGCAGGAGACTAGGGCGCAGAGAAATAGCTTCAAACTACAAGAGAGGAGATTCCATCTGAACATTAGGAAGGTCAGAACTGTGAGAGCTGTTCAGCAGTGGAACTCTCTGCCCCGGAGTGTGGTGGAGGCTTTTAAACAGAGGCTGGATGGCCATCTGTCAGGGGTGCTTTGAATGCGATTTTCCTGCTTCTTGGCAGAATGGGGTTAGACTGGATGGCCCATGAGGTCTCTTCCAACTCTACATTAGGAAGGTCAGAACTGTGAGAGCCGTTCAGCAGTGGAACTCTCTACCCCAGAGTGTGGTGGAGGCTCCTTCTTTGGAGGCTTTTAAGCAGACGCTGGATGGCCATCTGTCAGGGGTGCTTTGAATGTGATTTTCCTGCTTCTTGGCAGAATGGGGTTGGACTGGATGGCCCATGAGGTCTCTTCCAACTCTAGGATTCTATTACAATGAAACCTGAGCCCTGCCACATGCACAATGGACCTTCTTCTAGAGGCACTCCAAGTGGCCAGCCACTGCTCAAAGGACATTTAATAGCATGCCAAGCTTCTAAACTTTGTGTTTTCTCAAATACATCACAACTGTACACTTGGTACAGGATAAACAAATAAATACACATGGGAGAAAAGCAGGGTAAAATTAATAAGCAACAATAATACCTGACCAGGTGCTTCAGGGTGGGAGAGATGCTGCCTCCTGCCTCCTTCCTTCCCTCTGTCTCAGCTCCTTCTCTGGAGTCTTCCAAGCTCTTCCGGGTTCCACACCACCTCTTTTGGGCGCCTCTCTGGGAAGATTTTCCTATGGCCGGAAGGGGCGGGGACAAGGCCAAGAGTGAGGCTAGGAAGCAGGGAGGCACTTGCATCTGTTGCTCAAGGAGGCCAAGGGTGTTTTGGACTTCCATTCCCAGAAACCTCTGCTGCTTGGCTCAATGATCAGGGATTCTGGGAACTGAAGTCCACAACTAGAGTTCAGGAATATATATATTATATATATATATAATTTTGGCATCACCAAAATTACAACTCTCAGGACTCCTTAGCATTGAGCCATGGCAGTTTAAGTGGTGTCAAATTTAGTTATATATATATATATATATTTAGTTATATATATATTTAGTTATATATATATTTAGTTATATATATATATATATATATATATATATATATATATATATATATATATATATATATATATATATATATTGACACCACTTAAACTGCCATGGCTCAATGCTAAGGAGTCCTGAGAGTTGTAATTTTGGTGATGCCCCAGCAGAGAAGGCAAAGTGGTATCAAAGTGCATTAAGTACAAACCAGAATACTTTTTATGAAGTATGTTTGACTTTGTTTTAGATCAAAACCAAGACAAACTTTTGACCTACATGATGACAGCAGCAAGATTAACGTATGCAAAACTATGGAAAAAAGAAATCACTCCAACCAGAACACTATAGGTACTAAGAGTATTTTGTTGTTCATTTGTTCAGTCGTCTCCGACTCTTCGTGACCTCATGGACCAGCCCACGCCAGAGCTCCCTGTCGGTCGTCACCGCCCCCAGCTCTTTCAAGGTCAATCCAGTGCCTTCAAGGATGCCATCCATCCAACTTGCCCTTGGTCGGCCCCTCTTCCTTTTGCCTTCCATTTTCCCCAGCATCATCCTCTTCTCTAAGCTTTCCTGACTTTTTCCCACATCCTGCTGACAAGCCAGGCATCGTCCCCCATTCTAGATCTTTGCATTTCCTTTTTTCTGCCTGAGTGGAGTATCTTGCATTGGTCCCTGTTTAACTTCATTTTGTTAGTTAGTCAGAATTTTCTTCCAGTACCACAGTTTAAAAGCATCTCTCTTCCTTCGCTCAGCCTTCCCTAAGGTCCAGCTCTCACATCCATAGGTGACTACGGGGAATACCATTGCTTTAACTATGTGGACCTTCGTTGCCAGTGTGATGTCTCTACTCTTCACTATTTTATCGAGACTGGACATTGCTCTCCTTCCAAGAAGTAAGCGTCTTCTGATTTCCTGGCCACAGTCTGCATCTGCAGTAATCTTTGCGCCTAGAAATACAAAGTCTGTCACTGCCTCCACGTTTTCTCCCTCTGTTTCCCAGTTGTCAATCATTCATGTTGCCATAATCTTGTTTTTTATGTTTAACTGCAACCCAGCTTTTGCACTTTCTTCTTTCACCTTTATTAGAAGGCTCCGCAGCTCCTCCTCACTTTTGGCCATCAGAGTGGTGTCATCTGCATATCTAAGGTGTTAATGTTTCTTCCAGCAATTTTCACCCCAGCTTTGCATTCATCAAGCCCCGCACATCACATGATGTGTTCTGCATACAAGTTGAATACTAAGACTATTAGATATAATGAATATGGACATATTGACATATCAAATCTCATGTCACTCCCCAAATCCTAAAAACTAAACGGACTGGACACCCCTGAAATGTTTTTTGAAAACCAAAAATCCGGAAATAATAGAAGACGCTATTATATAAAATGCATGGAATGATTGAATTCAATCTTTAAAAGGACTAGCACTATATAAATAACTCTCTTTTACCTTTATCTTAGATATTAATTCTTTGAGGCGAAGACAGGAAGTACCAAATTTCAGTTCTACTCTTGCTCTATTTTAGGAATCTTTTCTTTTTTTTCTTTTTCTCCCTCTCTTGTTCTTTTAAAAATTAGTTTTATTTCTTTATTTCCCACTTTATTTCCCACTTTTCTATACTCATGAAATGTTCCCCCTCTTTTATTTTATCATTACAGATTTTTTTCTTCAGAATAAAAATTATAATTAAAAAAATGCATTGTCTACAGCAGACATAGTAAACTTTGGCTCTCCAGGTGTTTTGGACTTCAACTCCCACAATTCCTAACAGCCCCAGACCCTTTCCCCCCCCCCCCCCCCCAGCTGCTTAAGCAGTAAAAATTGCTGGAAGGAAAATTAACAAACTTAGATATGCAGATGATACCACTTTGATGGCCGAAAGCAAGGAGGAGCTGAGGAGCCTTCTAACCAAGGTCAAAGAAGAAAGGGCAAAAGCTGGGTTAAACATAAAAAAAAACCAAGATTATGGCAACAAGACTGATTGATAACTGGCAAATAGAAGGAGAAAACGTGGAGGCCGTGACAGACTTTGTATTTCTAGGTGCAAAGATGACTGCAGACGCAGACTGCAGCCAGGAAATGAGAAGATGTTTACTTCTTGGAAGGAGAGCAGTGTTCAATCTTGATAAAATAGTGAAGAGTTAAGACATCACACTGGCAACGAAGATCCGCATAGTAAAAGGAATAGTATTCCCTGTAATAACCTATGGATGTGAGAGCTGGACCAGAAGGAAGGCTGAGCGAAGGGAGAGAGATGATTTTGAACTGTGGTGCTGGAAGAAAATTCTGACTAACAAAATGAAGTTCAACAGGGACCAATGCAAGATACTCCACTTAGGCAGAAAAAAGGAAATGCAAAGATCTAGAATGGGGGACGATGCCTGACTTGTCAGCAGGATCTGGGGAAAAGATCTTGGGCATCAAGTTAAACATGAGTCAACAGTGTCATGCAGAAGGTAAAAAAGCCAATGGGATTTTGGCCTGCATCAATAGGAGTCTAGTGCCTAGATCCAGGAAGTCAAGCTACCCCACCTGGAATCACATTGTGTCCAATTCTGGGCACCACAACTGAAGGGAGATGTTGACAAGCTGGAATGTGTTTAGAGGAGGGTGATCAAGGGAGAACAAGCCCTATGAGGAGCGGCTTAAGGAGCTGGACATGTTTAGAATGCAGAAGAGAAAGCTGAGAGGAGATATGATAACCATGTATAAATATGTGAGAGGAAGTCACAGGGAGGAGGGAGCAAGCTTGTTTTCTGCTGCTCTGGAGACAATGGCTTCGAACTGCAGGAAAGGGGATTCCACCTGAACATTAGGAAGAACTTCCTAACTGTGAGAGCTGTTCAGCAGTGGAACTCTCTGCCCCAGAGTGTGGTGGAGGCTCCTTCTTTGAAGGCTTTTAAGCAGAGGCTGGATGGCCATCTGTTGGGGGTGCCTTGAATGCATTTTTTCCACTTCTTGGCAGAATGGGGTTGGACTGGATGGCCCACAAGGTCTCCTAAAACTCAGTGATTCAAAGTGGGAAGGAATCTCTCTTCCGCTCATCCAAAAGGGATTTGGACTACACAGTGCAAAAGGCAACAGAAGTACGGAAACAGGCTGGGGACAGACCAGATGAGAAGAGGAGATGGAACCAAGATAGTCGGAAGAAAGGGCAAAGAATATTGAAAGGGACATAAACCCAACTGGACAAAGTGAATGGATATGAACAAAGGTTAAAATTATAATGAAGTTTGAATTGTATTTGTTGGAGATTCCATTTGACCAACTAGAAAAGAAATATGGAAAGAGGCTATTACATGTGATTATTGTTGTGAGAATTATTTATGCCTAGAGATGGAAAGAACCAGGCATCCTGATACATCCTGATGGCTGAGGAAGACATGCGAATCAGCAGATAGACATTTTGACAATGTTGATCAAAGAAAAATCCTCAATTAAATTTAAGAAGACTGTGACTCGTTGATTGCTGTTTTAGAGTTAAGATGGGGAATAATTTAAAAAAAAAGAAATGCTAAAAGTAATATTAATAATAATTTTATTTCTAACCCGTCTCTCTTGGTAGCTCAAGGCAGGTTACGGCATAATTAAAATACATAATCATTGTAAAAATTCTATAAATATACATATTAAAATACACAAAACAGAGATTAAACACAAGACATAAGTTTAGAATTCATGCTTAAAACTGGCTAGGTAGGTCTGCAGGAAGAAATAGGTCTTTAAAGGTAAAGGTTTCCCCTTGACATTAAGTCCAGTCGTGTCCAACTCTGGGGGGTGGTGCTCATCTCCATTAGTAAGCCAAAGAGCTGGCTTTGTCCACAGACACCTCCGAGGTCATGTGGCCAGCATGACTGCATGGAGCACTGTTACCTTCCTGCAGATGCAGTACCTATTGATCTACTCACACTTGCATGTTTTCAAACTGCTACTTTGGCAGAAGCTGGGGCTAACAGCAGGCGCTCACCCCACTCCCCTGATTCTTACCACCAATCTTTCAGTCAGCACATTCAGCAGCTCAGCAGTTTAACCCGCTGTGCCAACAGGGGGCCCTTAGGTCTTTAGTTGATTTTAAATTCCAACAGCTGATCCCACTGTGGGAGCTCTTCTGGCAGGTCATTCCACAGTCTTAGGGCGGTCAACGAGAAGGCCCTTTGGGTGACAGTTACCAGTCACGTTCTGGCTGGTTGGAGTAGCTGCCCTCCAGAGACCTCAATGTGCAAGGTGGATTTTTACTGCCTTGCGTGAATTTATTATTCAATAAACTGCTTGCTGATTTTAACAAGCTGGTATGGTGTTTAAGGCCAGAGGTGTTCCTGCTCTAGAGTACAACAGTGGTCCTTCTTACTAGCCGCAGCGGCTTGTCCACATCAACAACACTCAGCCAACTGAAACTGATCCAGTGTAAACCCACTCAGAGTTGCTGGACACCTCATTGTTGGATTCTGCTCCAATGGCGAGAGATTTTACAAGGGTTGAATGAAAAGTAATGCCTCTATCTTCGTTACTTGGGTTTGGATGGGAATATTTTAATAAATCAAATGCAGAAACAATCCTTAGAATGTGCTCTTTAACTACCACTATTCACTTTTGGATACATTTCTGCTAACGGTGAACAAATTTTCTGAAGCCGTTACGGGAGAAGTCGACACTCTGTTTCCGCAACCAGCGTCTCACAGTTCTCTCAACGTCTTCATCAGAAGCATAATGATGTCCCCGCAGATCTTCTTTCATTATCAGGAACAGATGGAAGTCAGACGGTGTTGAATCTGGACTGAATGGAGGATGCTGTACGGTGGTGAGATCCAGTCTTTGAAGTTGTGCTGTGTTCCCATCGTGCACCGATCTTCCGATAGCCAAGCAAAGCAATAATGTGACCCATACGTTCTTGTGAAATACCGATTATGCTTGAAATTTCTCTCTGAGTGATAAGACGATCATCCTGAATCAATCTATCAACGTTTTGCTTGTGAAACTTAGTGGTTGCTGTCACAAGACGTCCAACTCTTGGTTTGTCACGCACCTCAACATCTTTAAACTTACTCGCCCAACAATGCACAGTACTCACATCAACACAATCACTATAAACAGCTTGCATTCTCTAATGAATCTCCTTTGGGGTGACACCTTCTGCTGTTAAAAATTCAATGACTGCATGTTGCTTAAGTTGCATTGACCGACCGTCATATTTCGCACTTTAACAACATTACCGTTCAATGCGAAGGCTTCCTGCCAAAATGGAACTATAGAGGAGAATCTACTGAACAAGCCAGTACCTGCCACATATCAATACTGCCATCTGTTGAAGAGCAACAAAGGTGGAGGCATTACTTTTCATCCAACCCTCGTATTTGCAAAATGGTTGTTAAAAACATCACAGTGAGCTACTGAAGGTTTTAGCAATGGGTTCAGAGAGGGCACCTGGGTCAAGCCTCTCACCATTCTGAACAGCTCAGCTAGACGTGAATCTGCAGACACAGTGTTCTTCGCTGCACCTATTGCCACTTTAGAGGAGCAAAGGGGTCCTCTAGAACATGTCTTATCACATAAAAGTCGAGTTTTCCACCATTTTCGCTAATGCTTTGCATGAGTTGCTTGATGGTAAATCAGGTGTGCCTTTTGACCAAAGCTCTTCCCACACTCTAAGCACGTAAAGGGTTTCTCCCCTGTGTGAATTCTTTCATGGCAAGTGAGGTATCTCTTCTGACTGAAGTTTCTTCCACACTCCAAACACTGAAAGGTTTTTTGCCCGGTGTGAACGCTTCGATGGCGAATGAGGTTTGTCATCCAGCTGAAGCTTCTCCCACACTCCAGGCACTGGAACGGTTTCTCCCCGGTATGAATCCTTTGGTGGCAAGTGAGGTTTGTCTTCCGATTGAAGCTCTCTCCACATTCCAGACACTGAAATGGCTTTTCTCCCGTGTGAACTATTTCGTGAAGAGTCAGGATCGTCTTCCGGCTGAAGCTCTTTCCACACTCCAAGCATTTAAACGGCTTCTCTACCGAGTGAGTTCTTTGATGCAAAGTGAGATGCATCTCCTGAGTGAAACGTTTTCCACACTCCAAGCACGGAAATGGTTTTTCTCCCCTGTGGGTTGCTTGATGGCAAGTCAGCTGCCTCTTTTCAGTGAAGCTCTTTCCACAATCTGAGCATTTGAAAGATGAGTGGCACGTCTGATGAGCTGGGTGAGAAATGTGGCTTTTGCTGATCTTTCCAAACTCCTCAGTTTTCACAGGCATTTCTCCTGTGTGAATTCTCATATGAGAATCAAAGTTTTCTCTACCATTGAAGCTCCTCCCACAAATACATATATTTATTTCCATTTCTGTTTGAGTTATTTCCGGGATTGAGATTCCAGGGACCACCCCACTCAGGGAAGCTGTTGTTTCCTTCTGCTCTTTCCTGTCAGTATCAAGTCTTCTTCCTTTTGGTCCAATCTCTTTATATTCAGCTCTTTTGAACAGGCCGCTGCTTGGTCCCTCTTCCTTCTCCTCCAATTGCTCATGAGCACCTAGGACACAGAGACAGAGCTGGTCAGACCCTCAAGGGGAACTAGTGTGTTGACCCAATTCCTCCGCTGCCATCTATTTGGGAGAGGAGACCTAATTCTTTCCATTACCTCTGTAGAGGGAACAGACTTACTGAGCCGATCCTTCAACTTTTTCTATAGGAGATACTTAAAGAAACAGGATTTTGTAGTCTGAAGAACTTATGGTGGCTCAGGCACAAAAACAATAAAATACAATTAAAATACCATAGATGTTTTTGTACTGCACCTCCATTAGCGAGAAGCAGCATAGCTAATCTATACACATCTATATAAATAAAAATGTAATGTTTGTTTGTGGGATTAACATAACTCCAAAACAACTGGACGAATTGATACCAAATTTGGACATAAGACACCCACCAGGCCAAGAAGTGACCATCACTCCTAAAAACACTGAAAAACACAGCAGAAGGGACTTAAAAGGCCAAAAACAAAACAAAAAATACATTACAATGCATGCGCAAAATCACACACACACACACACATATATATACACAAATGCACATATATACACATATATATACACACACACATATATGCATATGTCAGGAGAGCTTTGATTACATTTTTTTGCCCTAGTGAAGGGAGTTGGACTGAATGGCCTTAAGTATTTTCTGTTGGTTGTGGGAGTTCTGTGTGGGAAGTTTGCCCTAATTCTGTCATTCGTGGGGTTCAGAATGCTCTTTCATTTTAGGTGAACTATAAATCCCAGCAACTACAAGTCCCAAATGTCAAGATCTATTTCCCCTCAAACTCCATCTGTGTTCACATTTGGACATATGGAGTATCCATGCCAAGTTAGGTCCAGATCCATCATTGTTTGAGTCCATAGTGCTCTCTGGATGTAGGTGAACTACAACACCAAAACTCAAGATCAATGCCCCCCAAACCCTTCTAAGTGTTTTCTCTTAGTCATGGGAGTCCTGTGTGCCAAGTTTGGTTCAATTCCATAGTTGGTGGAGTTCAGAATACTCTTTGATTGTAGGTGAACTATAAATCCCAGCAACTACAATTCCCAAATGACAAAATCATTTTTTGAGTGATAGTCACTCATTGGCCTGATAGGTGTCTTGTGTCCAAATTTGGTGTCAATTCGTCCAGTGGTTTTTGAGTTATGCTAATCCCACAAACGAACATAACATTTTTATTTATATAGATATGATCATCATCCACTGTAACTTTAAAAAAAGCCTCAAAACAGACCTCAAACACTAAAAAAGGAGAAAGCGGGTGAAACTCACCTATTTGAAATAGAGAATGTTTGACAAGGTAACAGGGATGGTTGGGAGGCACATATGTGATGAATTACAAGAAAGAAAGAGGATTACCGAGAGAGCGCACAAGCTCGAAATTCTCTTCCATGACGTCCGTCTGAAGGGCCTTTTGGTCCGCATCCAGCAGAGCCCACTCCTCCTCCGTGAAATCCACAGTCACCTCCTCAAAGGCCACCTGCAGAAAAATACTTCGTTTTAAGGGCCAACTTAAAAAGAAAAGAAATGTAGTTTGTTATAAACTAACCGGGATTGTGGCGCAGCTGGCTGAGTGTCAGCTGCATTAAGATCACTCTGACCAAAAGGTCATGAGTTCGAAGCCAACCCGGGCTGGAGTGGGTGTCCAGCCATTGTGTAGCCCGTTGTCGACCTTTGCAACCCGAAAGACAGTTGCATCTGTCAAGTAGGAAAATAAGGGACCACCTTGTGTGGGAGGCTAAATTTAACTAATTTATGAGGCCATAAAGAAAAAAGACTCCGGGGAATGTGGAATGCGGAAGAACTTCATCGGTGTCGCTGATGGACGATGGAAAGCAGCAGCTCCCCTGGGGGCCAGAAAAAAGTTAAATAGCCTCGGTGTATTTGTCTGTTAAATGTTGTTTGTCAAACTGGCATTGAATGTTTGCCATATATGTGTTTACTGTAATCCGCCCTGAGTCCCCTGCGGGGTGAGAAGGGCGGAATATAAGAACTGTAAATAAATAAATAATAATAATAAATAAATAATAATAATAACTGGATTTCACTCCTAAAACAAGGTATCCAGACACCTTCCATTCACAGGGAGATTCCTCCATGCCCAGAAAGAGGGTCAGGGATAGCCCGCTTCCCAGGGATCTTTCCCTCACCTTATCCAGCTCCACTGAAGCTGAACCATACTCAAGAGATGGACTTGGCAATGGTGGTTGTGTCCTTGTTCCTTCTCCTGTGAGAGACACAGAAAGAGAGAAAGGCAAGTCATGGACCATCCTCTAGATTTCTAATGGAAGTCTTTCCATATCCTTCCAAAGACAAGACAGAGCCAAGACAAAGTTTGGGACGGAGGACGAGGAGGGGGATAGGCAATGGAACTGGAGAATGAGGAATACTGAAAGCTATACATCCTGCTTAGTTTCAATATATTTTAGAGGAAAGGACCAAGAATTAAAAAAAAATCCCCTTTAACTGGAATCACACTGTGTCCAATTCTGGACACCACAATTGAAGAGATATTGACAAGCTGGAAGGTGTTCAGAGGAGGGCAATTAAACTAATCAAGGGTCTGGAGAACAAACCCTATGAGGAGCGGCTTAAAGAACTGGGCATGTTTAGCCTGTAGAAGAGAAAACTGAGTGGAGACATGATGGCCATGAATCAAGAGGTGAGGGGAAGTCATAGGGTGGAGGGAGCAAGCTTGTTTTCTGCTGCCTTGGAGACTAGGACGTGGAGCAATGCCTTCAAACTACAGGAAAGGAGATTCCACCTGAACATTAGGAGGAATTTTCTAACTGTGAGAGCTGTTCTACAGTGGAACTCTTTGCTCTGAAGTGTGGTGGAGGCTCCATCTATGGAGGCTTTTAGACAGAGGCTGGACAGCCATCTGTTGAGGGTGATTTGAATGCGATTTTCCTGCCTTTTGGCAGGGGGTTGGACCGGATGGCCAAAGAGGTCTCTTCCAATTCTATGATTCTATGATTAGGAAGAACTTCCTGACTGTGAGAGCTGTTCAGCAGTGGAACTCTCTGCCCTGAAGTGTGGTGGAGGCTCCTTCTTTGAGAGCTTTTAAACAGAGGCTGGATGGCCATCTGTCAGGGGTGCTTTGAATGCAATTTTCCTGCTTCTTGGCAGGAGGTTGAACTGGAAGGCCCATGAGGTCTCTTCCAACTCTTTGATTCTATGATCTTTACCCAATGAGGTGGAGGCGCTCTCCCAGTCTGGCATGATACAACTGGTCCCGGATGAATACTTCGTTGCCTTGGTCTTCTCCTCTTCCTTAAAGAAGTCCTGCACCAGAAGAAATAGGAAGGATCAGATTAAGAAAAGAATGGAATCAAGGTAGGCCATACCTGCTTACAAGGATTTCAAGGAGAAAACTGGGTGTTCTACTATACACCTGCGAAACGTGGACTGACTACAGAAGTCACATGCAACTCCTGGAACAATTCCATCAGTGCTGCCTCCGAAAAATCCTGCAAATCTGTTGGAAGGACAGGCAGACAAATGTCAGCGTGCTGGAAGAAGCAAAGTCCACCAACACTGAAGTGATGCTCCTCTGTCATCAACTCTGCTGGAATTGTCCGGATGCCCGATCACCATCTCCCAAAGTAGTTGCTCTACTCCAGACTCAAGAACGGAAAACGGAATGTTGGTGGACAGGAAAAGAGATTTAAAGATGGGCTCAAAGCCAACCTCAAAAACTGTGGCAGAAACACTGGGAACTGGGAAGCCCTGGCCCTTGAGCACTCTAACTGGAGGTCAGATGAGACCAGCAGTGCTGTGGAATTTGAAGAGGGTGAAAGGGAAAAGGTGCCAAGAGGAAGGCACATCAAGCCAACCCTGACCGGGACCGCTTTCTGTCTGGAAACTGATGTCCTCATGGCGGGAGAAGATGCAGATCAAGAATAGGGCTCCACAGCCACCCACGGACCCACTGCCATGACACCACATCTGGAAGACTATCATCCTCGAGCTACGAGGGATTACCTAAGAAACAGCAAGGAGCTTGGAAATATCCTTTAGAAACAGCATTCCAATATTTTTGAAAGGGCCAGGATGAACTCCTCTTACCTGCTGCTCCATGCTTTGACTGCCCTCCTCTGCGTGGTTGAGGAGGAATCCTTCTGCCAAGGCCACGGCCTGGGAGCTGCTCTCTGCCCCGCACTCCCTCACCCAGCGCTCCATCTCTGTAGGAAGGACGGCCAGGAACTGCTCCAGCACCAGCAGGTCCAGCATCTCCACCTTGGTGTGCTGCTCTGGCCGGAGCCACTGGCGGCAGAGAAGGTGCAGCTGGCTGCAAACCTCCCGAGGTCCCAATGTCTCCCTGTAGCCAAAGTCCCTGAATTGCTGGCGCCGTAAATCTGAAGTGCGCACTTCCTCCGGCAGGCTCGTCTGTGTGGCTCTCTCCTCGAAAGCTCCACTAGGCTTGGCCTGAATGAGGGAAGGGCCCTTCTCTAGGTTGGGCTCAAAAGAGTCTTTCCCTCCCATCCTTCAAGCTAGATATTTCACTGTTGCCAGGTTCTCCTAAAAGGCAAAAACAATGCAGAAATTACTGGAGATTGAAAGAAAGGGGCAGGAGAAGCAAGCAAGATGTTTGGTGAAGGAACTATTATGAACACTCTCCTGTTCTAGGAATATGTTTCAGAATCACATTAAAACCAGAAATTAGCTCCATCAATCAATCTTTTTTACAGTCCATGACCAGTACTACAATGGAAAATGCATAATTAAAACACTGTCCAAGTTTGCAATCCTTAATGAGGAACAGTTAGTTAGCCTTAGCATGGGCTGAGGGAATCCCTTCTCCCCTGAGTCCTGAATGTCGGTTGGAGGGTATCTACTTTTTCTCTCTGTGTCTCTCTTTCTTCTGCCATCCTGATTAGTGTAGAATGGATACTTTTCAGGTTGCATGCCTTTGTTTACGACTTCTACTTTTCCACCTTTGCACTCAGACCTCTCTCTACTTTCTGTGTTTGAAAAGGTGTGGCGTTTGGAGGTTTTTCCTCTTGTTTTGGGAGTTAAGAAATTATGGAGTTAGAGCAGGCCTGGACAAACTTGGGCCCTCTTGGTGTTTTGGACTTCAACTCCCACAATTCCTAACAGACTACCGGCTGTTAGAGGAGTTTTGAGAGTTAACGTCTAAAACACCCAGAGGGCCAAATTATTGGATATTGGATAATCACAGATAAAAACATTGTTTTAATGATTATCGATTGAAGTATGTTTCATTATAATGTTTGATTTTATTGTTGCTGATGTTTTTTATATTGTAATTGTGTCCTTGGTGGCATTGAATTCTTGCCTTGTAAACCGCCTCGAGTCGCTGGAAGGGACGGTATAGAAATGCACTAAATAAATAAATAAATTAGGGTTAAGATTAATGTTAAGGGTAAGGCTTCGGCTTAGGGTAAGGTTTAGGGTTCAGGCAAGGGTTAGAGTTTTACCATTAAAGAATTCTTACATTCCTTCTATAATATCTGTGTTCCGTTCTGCGTTGTGCAAACAGCGCTCTGAAAGGAGCAAAGCAGAAACAGCGTAATGCTCAGAGCTTCCGGACCCAGCTTTCATACTATTACCCACATCTACACTTCAGTATTGAAACTGCATATTATATGCAGGGGAGCCCCTGGTGGCGCAGCAGGTTAAAGCGCTGAGCTTGTTGATCGAAAGGTCGTAGGTTCGATTCCGGGGAGTGGCATGAGCTTCCGCTGTCAGCCCTAGCTTCTGCCAACCTAGCAGTTTGAAAACATGCAAATGTGAGTAGATCAATAGGTACCGCTCCAGCGGGAAGGTAATGGTGCTCCATGCAGTCATGCCGGCCACATGACCTTGGAGGTGTCTATGGACAATGCCGGCTCTTCAGCTTAGAAATCATAGAATCAAAGAGTTGGAAGAAACCTCATGGGCCATCCAGTCCAACCCCCTGCCAAGAAGCAGGAATATTGCATTCAAATCACCCCTGACAGATGGCCATCCGGCCTCTGTTTAAAAGCTTCCAAAAAAGGAGCCTTCACCACAATCCGGGGCAGAGAGTTCCACTCCTGAACGGCTCTCACAGTCAGGAAGTTCTTCCTCATGTTCAGATGGAATCTCCTTTCTTGTAGTTTGAAGCCATTGTTCCATTGCGTCCTAGTCTCCAGGGAAGCAGAAAACGAGCTTGCTCCCTCCTCCCTGTGGCTTCCTCTCACATATTTATACATGGCTAGTAGGCTTGGGCAACCCATGGTTCTAAATGGTTCTAAAGTACTTACAAAACTAAAGTTCTGGTGGTGAAAATTTCAGAAATCTAACAAAACTTTCAAAATTTAATTATTATTTCATTGTTGGTGATTTTAATGACAGAACCAATTAGGAACTGCCATTTATTATGAAATTTTGAGAGTTTTGTTAGAGTTCTGAAATTTTCACTACCAGAACTTTAGTTTTGTAAGTTCTTTAGAACCATTTAGAACCATGGATTGCCAAAGCCTAATGGCTATCATATCTCCTCTCAGCCTTCTCTTCTTCAGGCTAAACATGCCCAGCTCCTTAAGCCACTCCTCGTAAGGCTTGTTCTCCAGACCCTTGATCATTTTAGTCGCCCTCCTCTGGACACATTCCAGCTTGTCAATATCTCTCTTGAATTGTGGTGCCCAGAATTGGACACAGTATTCCAGGTGTGGTCTAAATGGAGATGAGCACCACACCCTAGAGTCAGACATGACTGGACTTAATGTCAGGGGAAAACCTTTACTTATTATATGCAGACAAATAATCAAACTGAGGGGGTTGAGAAGGCTGCCTATTTCCAACAGGTGTTCGCCCATGTCTGATCCAAACCATGAATCATGGAAACCCCAAATGTGGAAGGAGAACTGAGCTTTCTCTACCAAAGGGGCTGATGCCTCACCAGACTACAAGTCCCAGGGTCCCATGAAGGAGGAAATGCAAAGATACAGAATGGGGGGTGCCTGGCTTGAGAACAGTACGTGTGAAAAAGATCTTGGAGTCCTCGTGGACAACAAGTTAAACATGAGCCAACAATGTGATGTGGCGGCAAAAAAAGCCAATGGGATTTTGGCCTGCATCAATAGGAGCATAGTGTCTAGATCTAGGAAGTAATGCTACCCCTCTATTCTGCTTTGGTTAGACCACACCTGGAATATTGTGTCCAATTCTGGGCACCACAATTCAAGAGATATTGACAAGCTGGAATGTGTCCAGAGGAGGGCGACTAAAATGATCAAGGGTCTGGAGAACAAGCCCTATGAGGAGCGGCTTAAGGAGCTGGGCATGTTTAGCCTGAAGAAGAGAAGGTGAGAGGGGATATGATAGCCATGTATAAATATGTGAGAGGAAGCCACAGGGAGGAGGGAGCAAGCTTGTTTTCTGCTTCCTTGGAGACTAGGACGCAAGGGAACAATGGCTTCAAACTACAAGAGAAGGAGATTCCATCTGAACATGAGGAAGAACTTCCTGACTGTGAGAGCCGTTCAGCAGTGGAACTCTCTGCCCCGGAGTGTGGTGGAGGCTCCTTCTTTGGAAGCTTTTAAACAGAGGCTGGATGGCCCTCTGTCAGGGGTGATTTGAATGCAATATTCCTGCTTCTTGGCAGAATGGGGTTGGACTGGATGGCCCATGAGGTCTCTTCCAACTCTTTGATTCTATGATTCTATGTTTCTAAGTGGCCTAAAACAGTGGTTCTCAACCTGTGGGTCCCCAGTGTTTTGGCCTACAACTCCCAGAATTCCCAGCCAATTTACCAGCTGTTAGGATTATTGGGGGTTGAAGGCCAAAACATCTGGGGACCCTGGGACTGAGCAGAGAGGGAGGAAAGCAAGGAAGGCACCTTCTCCTTGGTCGCCGGCCTCTCACCTTCCCTTCCAGAGCCTTCTTCCCGAATCCCTGCCTTCCCTCCTTTCCCTCCAAGGTCTGAAGGAGGACTGCAAGAAGAACTCACCTGAGGTTCCCTTTTGAGCGCGGCACTTCCTGCTTCCGGTCACGGTCAGGTGGACGAAGCCACGCCCCCTCCCGGCGGGACCAATGGCAGGCCCTTCCGAAAGGGGCGTGGCCTGAGAAGGAGGAAGTCCCTCCACAGAGTCCCCCCTCCCCTCCCTCTCTGTCTCCCTTTCTGATGAGGTGTGTGGATCTGTCTCTTTCCCTTCTTAGGCCCTTAATACGAGTATAATAGCGAGTATATTATGCTTCTTTGATAGCGTCTGCTAGCTCACGCCCGGCAAAATTGTTCAAAATAATTCGATCTCTAACGACGGTTCCTACCGTCCCAAAAAGTGGTGATCAGGCCCCTCCAGCCGAGGTTTTTCAGAGCTATTTTGCAGACAAGATCTCGCTACTTCGCCGGGACCTCCCCGCCACAATTGATACAGTGAGAGAACTTGAGACCCCGTGGCCACTTGCTGGGCCCATCCTCGACCGGTTCATCCCGCTGGATGCAGGGGCTGTCGATAGGCTCATAGCTGCAGCTAGACCGACCACTTGCTCCCTCGATCCGTGTCCCTCTTGGTTGGTGAAATCCTGCTTGGAGGGATTACGTGACCCTCTGTTGAAGATCATAAACAGCTCCCTTGAGCAAGGAGTCTTTCCAGAGGGTTTAAAAGAGGCGGTGGTCTCTCCTTTGCTGAAGAAACCAGATTTAGATCCCTCGGTTCCCTCCAGTTACCGCCCAGTTTCAAATCTCTCGTTCCTGGGCAAGGTGATTGAGAGGGCAGCAGCGGAGCAGTTGCAGCAATTCCTAGACGACACAGCCGGACTAGACCCCTTCCAATCCGGCTTCCGTGCAGGGCACGGGACAGAGACTGTGGTGGTCTCCATCACGGATCACCTTCGATGCCAGCTTGACCAGGGCGGGTCAGCGCTGCTTGTGCTATTGGATCTCACAGCAGCATTTGACACAGTCGACCACAATCTCTTGACCCACCGCCTTGCTGTTGCTGGAATCAGGGGGACAGCTTTAAACTGGCTGTCCTCCTTTCTTCACAACCGTGGACAGCGAGTGGAGAGGGGAGGCCTGGTCTCTGAGAGGTCCCCTCTATCTTGTGGGGTTCCTCAGGGGGCCATTCTCTCCCCTCTGTTGTTTAACATCTATATGCGACCACTTGCTCAGCTGGTTCGAGGTTTTGGGCTTGAGTGTTATCAGTACGCCGATGACACTCAGCTGGTGCTGAAGATGGAAGGCCGACCGGACTCTGTACCCGATTGTTTCCATCAGTGCCTCGAGGCCGTGACTGGATGGCTGCGTGCCAGCAGGTTGAGGGTGAATCCAGCAAAGACGGAGATCCTATGGCTGGGTGGACCGGTCAGTGGGGACATCCATCTGCCCACCCTGGATGGTGAGGCGTTACGCCCGTCATCATTGGTCAAGAGTCTGGGAGTCCTTTTGGACCCTCTGCTGACAATGGAGGCCCAGGTCTCCGCCGTGAGCAGAACCGCCTTCTTTCACCTGCGGCAGGCTAGACGGCTGGCCCCCTACCTGTCCAGGGACGACCTAGCTACGGTGATCCAGGCCACGTCATCTCAAGACTGGACTACTGTAATGCCCTCTACATTGGCCTCCCTCTGTCGGTGATTCGGAAGCTCAAGTTGGTACAAAACGCAGCTGCTCGGCTTCTTGCGGGAATTCCGATGAGATGCCACATAACACCAATCTTACTACAGCTGCATTGGTTACCAATTGAGCACCGGATCACTTTCAAAGTGATGGTACTCACCTTTAAGGCCTTGCATGGTCTGGGGCCAATGTATCTGAGGGATCGTCTCACCCCCTCCCAACCCCAGAGATCCCTCCGTTCTGAGGACCAAGATCTATTGGAAGTCCCCAGTGTCAAGACCTTGCGTCTAGCGGCAACCAGACGCAGAGCCTTCACAGCAGTGGCGCCATCAGTCTGGAATGCTCTGCCACCTGAGGTTCGTGCCCTGCGGGACTTACCAGCTTTCCGCAGGGCATGTAAGACATACCTGTTTCGACAGGCTTTTAATGTTTGATAGTGTTGTTTTTAAATTGTTTTTAATTGCTTTTAAATTTTGTTAGATTTTAGCCATTCTTGTAAGCCGCTCCGAGCCCCAGGGGAGTGGCGGCATATAAGTTTAAATAATAAATAATAAATAAATAAATAAATAAATTATATGGCAGTGTAGACTAAGCACAGTCTGTAAAAAGGAAGCTTCTAATTATATGGCTATGCAAAAAAAGCGTCCTCCTATAGATAAGTAGTCCCAAATTTGGTGAATCAGATAGAATCATAGAATCAAAGAGTTGGAAGAGACCTCATGGGCCATCCAGTCCAACCCTCCTGCCAAGAAGCAGGAATATTGCATTCAAATCACCCCTGACAGATGGCCATCCAGCCTCTGTTTAAAAGCTTCCAAAGGAGCCTCCACCACACTCCGGGGCAGAGAGTTCCACTGCCGAATGGCTCTCACAATTGCCAATATCCAAATGCTGGATAATTGAGGAAGGCAGGGAGTTTCAGGAAAAACATCTATTTCTGTTTTATTGACTACTAGCCGTCCCCTGCCACGCGTTGCTGTGGCCCACATGGGGGATCTGTGTAGGAAGTTTGGCCCAATTCTATAATTGGTGGGGTTCAGAATGCTCTGTGATTGTAGGTGAACTATAAATCCCATCAACTACAGTTTTCCAATGTCAAGGTCTATTTCCCCCAAAATCCACCAGTGTTCACATTTGGGCATAATGAGTATTCATGCCAAGTTTGGTCCAGATCTATCATTGTTTGAGTCCACAGTGCTCTCTGGATGCAGATGAACTACAACTCCCAAAGGTTCAGTGCCCACCAAACCTTTCCAGTATTTTCTCTTGGTCATGGGAGAACTGTGTGCCAAGTTTGATTCAATTCTATTATTGGTGTTCAGAATGCTCTTTGATTGCAGGTGAACTGTTTGGTTCAATTCCATTATTAGTGGAGTTCAGAATGCTCTTTGATTGCAGGTGAACTATAAATCCCAGCAAATACAACTCCCAAATGTCAAGATTCTGTTTCCCCCAAAATCCACCAGTGTTCACATTTGGGCATATTGAGTATCCATGCCAAGTTTGGTCCAGATCTATCATTGTTTGAGTCCACAGTGCTCTCTGGATGCAGATGAACTATAACTCCCAAAAGTTCAGTGCCCACCAAACCTTTCCAGTATTTTTTCTTGGTCATGATTGTAGGTGAACTATAAATCCCAGCAACCACAACTCCCAAATGTCAAGGTCTATTTTCCCCAAACACCACCAGTGTTCACATTTGGAAATATTGGCTATCCATGCCAAGTTTGGTCCAGATCTATCATTGTTTGATGTAGGTGAACTACAATTCCCAAACTCAAGGTCAATGTCCACCCAAACCTTTCCAGTATTTTCTGTTGCTCATGGGAGTTCTGTGTGCCAAGTTTGGTTCAATTCCATTATTGGTGGAGTTCAGAATGCTCTTTGATTGCAGGTGAACTATAAATCCCAGCAACTACAAATCCCAAATGTCAAGATCTATTTCCCCCCAAATCCACCAGTGTTTGGGCATATGGAGTATTCGTGCCAAGTTTGGTCCAGATCCATCATTGTTTGCGTCCACAATGTTCTCTGGGTGTAGGTAAACTATAAATCCTAGCAACTATAACTCCAAATGACAAAATCAATCCCCCCCAAGCCCCAGCAGTATTCAAATTTGGGCGTATCGGGTATTTGTACCAAATTTGGTCCAGTGAATGAAAATACATTCTGCATATCTAAAATTTACATGACAAAATTAGCAAAATTACAGTTCTGAAGTAGCAACGAAAATAATGTTATGGTTGGGGGTCACCACAACATGAGGAATTGCATTAAGGGGTCGCGGCATTAGGAAGGTTGAGAAACATTGGGGTAATCCATAATATCTGCGTGTAAGCAGCCACTGAGGATTAGTGCTGAGTGTTGAAACAACTCTGGATGAAAGCAAAAGCGTTCAGAATAAATCTTGCCTCGAAAACCCCAATGAGAAGTTCCTCTTGGATCACCACAAGTCAAAAAACAGTAGAGGAAGTGATACACGAACACTAGCTGTTTCAATGAATTCAAAATTGAAGTCAAACAACAAAAAAGTTGGGAGAAAAATAATATTGTTTTGCAAATTTATTTCATCTTGTGACACACTACATTAACTTTATAACAAAAAAAGCCAAGTTCAGTACAGTTACAGTAAGAAAAGAAACAGGAAAACAAGAATCTAAAATGAATAAATACAGTATTTAATCTCTATTGCAACATCTATCACATTAATGTCAATATCTTTATATGTCTATTCTCTAAGTTACTAAAATGGACTGATCTAAGAGTTTAAGCATTGTCATAGAAGCTCAAATTGTGTGGTTTCAAACTCTGTATATCCTATAAATTGATACAAAATCAAAACACCTTTTGATGCTCTTCTCTGTTAGTTTTTCCACCAGAGTTAAGGACCAGAGTTAGGAAATAAAACCCTCACTTATCAAGTTCTAAATGCTTTGAAATTTCTAAGCATGCTGCTCACAAGAAAATAAAAAAGTCTTAATATTAAAGTGATGAGTTAGATATTTTGAATATAGAAAGAATCAAGTGTATCTTCTGACTTGGAAGAGCTTTCCAAACTCAAGCTTTTCCCAAGATGAATCCTTTGATGATGTGGGGACACCTTCCAACCAAAGCCCTTTCCACACTCTGAGCATTCAAATGGTTTCTCTCCTGTAGGAATTCTGTGATGACGAGTGAAGTCCCTCTTCTGAATTTTCAGTCCAAGAATTTACACGGTGTCTCCCCTGAAGCCCCTGTGTGGGGCTTGACAAATGCAAGGCTAGAGTTAAAATTGCTGGAGCAAACATTTAACCTTAGATATGCAGATGATACCACTTTGATGGCCGAAAACCAGGAGGAACTGAGGAGCCTTCTAACCAAGGTGAAAGAAGAAAGTGCAAAAGCTGGGTTGCAGCTAAACATCAAGAAAACCAAGATTCTGGCAATCAGACTGATTGACAACTGGGAAACAGAGGGAGAAAACATGGAGGCAGTGACAGACTTTGTATTTCTAGGTGCAAAGATTACTGCAGACGCAGACTGCAGCCAAGAAATCAGGAGACGCTCAAGCAAGATGGATTTGTGATGCTAGAACCTGGTTTTAGAGCCTTGTGTAAAAATGCCCTTCATTTCTTGACTGAAAGCCAATGGGATTTTAGCCTGCATAAGTAGGAGTACAGTGTTCCCTCATTTATCGCCGGTGTTCCATTCCAGGACCACCCGCAATAAGTGAAAATCCACGAAGTAGGGACGCTCCGCCCATTCAGCAGTGGCCTCTTCCTCCTTGCTGCCTCCAAGGCTCCCGGCCTCAGAGGCCCCTTGGACGCCATTGATGGCACTGCCAGGCTGGGCTATGGCCTGGTCTGAGGCCTCAGTCCAGCTCGGCAGTGCCATCAACAGTGCCCAAGGGACCTCTGAAGAAGGAGTGGGGAGCAGCAGAGGGGGCAAGGAGGAGGCCGCTGCTGAAGAACCTGGAGACAAGCCCCAGAGTAAGGCCCAGTGCCTGGCTCCCGCTCCCCCTCCCCTCCTCCTCCTCCTCCACACACACGCACCCCATGGCTCAATAAGCGAACCACGATGTAGCGAGGGAACGCTGTATAGTTTCTAGATCCAGGGACGTCATGCTACCCTTCTATTCTGTCTTGGTTAGACCACACCTGGAAAACTGTGTCCAATTCTGGGGACCAGAATTGAAGAGAGATAATGACAAGCTGGAATGTGTCCAGAGGAGAGCAACTAAAATGATCAAGGGTCTGGAGAACAAGCCCTATGAGAAGCGGCTTAAAGAGCTGGGCATGTTTACCCTGCAGAAGAGAAGACTAAGAGGAGACATGATAGCCATGTATAAGTATGTGAGGGGAAGTCACAGGGAGGAGGGAGCAAGCTTGTTTTCTGCTGCCCTGGAGATCAGGATGTGGAACAATAACTTCAAACTACAGGAAAGGAGATTCCACCTGAACATTAGGAAAAACTTTCTGATTGTGAGAGCTGTTCAGCAGTGGAACTCTCTGCCCTAGAGTGTGGTGGAGGCTCCTTCTATGAAGGCTTTTAAACAGAGGCTGGATAGCTATCTGTTGGGGGTGCTTTGAACGCGATCGTCCTGCTCTTGGCAGGGGGTTGGACTGGATGGCCCACAAGGTCTTTTCCAACTCTATGATTCTATGAGTGAATTAGCTGATAACAAGTGAGGTGCAATCTCTGCCTGAACTGTTTTCCACACACAAAGCAATGAAATGGCTTTTCTCCTGCATGAACATTTTGGAATGATCGATCGAGGCCTGTCTTCTATCTGAAGCTCTTTCCACAATCCAATTATTTGATCGTTTCTTTCACTGTGTGACACGTATGATGAGAAACGAGGGACACCTTGTGGCGGAAACTCTTCCCGCACTTCAAGCACTTGTATGGTTTCTCTCCTGTGTGGACTCTTTGATGGTAAGTGAGGCTCAGCTTCAAACTGAAGCGCCTTCCACACTCCAAACACTGAAAGGGCCTTTCCCCAGTGTGGACTCTTTGATGGCAAGTGAGATTGGCCTTCTGCCTGAAGCTTCTCCCACACTCCAAGCACTGAAAGGGTTTCTCTCCTGTGTGGACTCTTTGATGACGAAGGAGTGTTGTCTTCTGACTGAAGCTTCTTCCGCATTCCAAGCACTGGAATGGTTTCTCCACCGTGTGGACCGTTTGGTGGGAAATGAGGAATGCCTTTTGACTGAAAGCCTTCCCACAATGCATGCATGCAAACGGTTTCTCTCCTGTATGGATTCTTTCGTGATATGTAAGTTGCGTCTTCCGACTGTAGCTCTTTCCACACTCCAAGCATTTAAATGGCTTCTCTCCGGTGTGGCTTCTTTCATGACACGTAAGGTACGTCCTCCGGCTGTAACTCTTTCCGCATTGCAAGCATTTGAATGGTTTCTCTCCAGTGTGGCTTCTTTCGTGGCACGTAAGGTTCGCTTTGTGCCTGAAGTTCTTTCCACACTCCAAGCACTGAAATGGTTTCTCTCCTGTGTGGATTCTTTCATGGCACGCCAGGTACGTCCTCCGACTGTAGCTCTTTCCACACTGCAAGCATTCGAAAGGTTTCTCCCTCGTGTGAACTCTTCCATGACTCATGAGGATTGACTTCCGACTGAACCTCTTTCCACACTCCGAGCACTGAAAGGGCTTCTCTCCCGTGTGGATCCTCATGTGAGAATCAAGGTTTTGTTTACAACTGAAACTTCTTCCACACAGCAGGCATCCGTTTCTTTCCATGACTCTTTGAATTATTTCTGAGACTGAGACTGCAGAGACCTCTCCAGTTTGGGAATTGCTCCCCTTCCAATGAACATCCGGATTTCGTTCTTTCCTTTCCATCTGTTTACATTTTATGCTTTCGAACAACTGCCGACTTGGCTCCCCGTCATTCTCCTCCAACTGCCCACCACCACCTGCAAAGAAGAGAAAAGACTAGTCAGAACTCTAGAGCAGTAATTCTCAACCTTCCTAATGCTGCAACCCCTTAGTACAGTTCCTCATGTTGTGGTGACCCCCATCCATAACATTATTTTCATTGCTACTTCATAATTGTAATTTTGCTACTGAGCCCCCGGTGGCACAGTGGGTTAAACCACAGAGCTGCTAAACTTGCTAACCGAAAGGTCTCAGGTTCGAATCTAGAGAGTGGCGTAAGCTCCCACTGTTAGCTCCAGCTTCTGCCAACCTAGCAGTTCGAAAACATGCAACTGTGAATAGATCAATAGGTACTGCTCCGGCAGGAAGGTAATGGCGCTCCATGCAATCATGCTGGCCACATTACTTTGGAGGTGTCTATGGACAACGCTGGCTCTTCAGCTTAGAAATGGAGATGAGCACCAGCCTCCAGAGCCAGACCCGAATTGACTTAACCTTTACCTTTTACCTATGAATCATAATGTAAGTATTTGACATGCAGAATGTATTTTCATTCACTGGACCCAATTTCACACAAATACCTGGTATGCCCAAAATTGAATACTGGTGGGGTTGGGAAGGGAACTGATTTTGACATTTGGGAGTTGTAGTTGCTGGGATTTATACATTTGAAGAGCATTCTGAATGGAATTGAACCAAACTTGGCATACGGAACTCCCATGACCAACAGAAAATACTGGAAGGGTTTGGTGGGCATTGACCTTGAGTTTGGGAGTTGTAGTACATCCAGAGAGCACTGTGGACTCAAACAATGATGGATCTGGGCCAAACTTGGCATGGATACTCAATATGCCCACATGTGAACATGTGTGTAGTTTGGGGAAAATAGACCTTGAAATTTGGGAGTTGTAGTTGCTGGGATTTATAATTCACCTACAACCAGAGATCATTCTGAACTCCACAGACGATGGAATTGAACCAAACTTGGCACACAGAATTCCCTTGATCAACAGAAAATACTGGAAAGATTTGGTGGGCATTGACCTTGAGTTCTGGAGTTGTAGTTCACCTACATCCAGAGAGCAGGAGGAGGGCTTTTGGTGGAAGTATTCACCATCTGTTTCCAAAATGGAAGAGATCTTCAGCCTTCTCTGCCGAAGAGGTTCCGAAGACCATCAGAAATGTGTTTTCTGATGGTCTTCGGTGACCCCTCTGAAACCCTCCTCATGACCCCCTCAGGGGTTCTGACCTCCAGGCTGAGAAACACTGCCCTAGAGAGAATTGGAAACCAGCCACAAGGCAACTGCTTAGTTGACAGCCATACTGGAAAAGGAATCAGAGTCTTTTCGTAGCCTCTGTAGAGTGACAAGGTTCACTGAGCTCCTCCTTGAACTCTTTCTATTACTTACAGAAGCATGACTTTATAGCCCAAAGATCTATTTGTGGCTCAATCTAGTTTCCCTCTCTTCTCTGCCCCATCCACTTTTGTTCCTCAGAGTCCTTCCTTTTATACTAAAGATGTAGGGAGAAATTATCTGGATTTTGTTGATACCTTGGGTATTTGTGCAAATAATTTGTGAGCCGTCCTCAGTCTTCTTCGGAATGAGAAGGGCAGGATATAAATGCAGTAAATAAATAAATAATTTCTGGCAATAGCAGAAAGCAGAACTGATTTGATGATAAGTCAGATTATGTCTGCCTCTGGTTTGACTCCCATCAGCCATAAGGAACACAGACAATGGTGAATGATGAATTGGAATCAAATACAAAAATGCATGTATTTGTTAGTGACAGCAAAAAGAAAAAAAATGGGATCAAAACTGTGTGCAGGTGAGATTTAGTCCCTTCTATGGAGATATTGGTCTGGACCTGACACAATCTCCGGTAATTTTGGTAAGACTCTGAATGGATTTCAAAAATCATCCAGGGCAAAAGAGAATTCAGCTTTACATAAAGTTTGACAAGAGAATAATTTTGGTGGGTAAATATGTAATGAATCACAAGAAAGAGGTGGAATTACCCAGAGAGAATAAGAGCCTGAAATTCTCTTCCATGACTTCCATCTGAAGGGCCTTTTGGTCTGCGTCCAGCAGAGCCCACTCCTCCTCCGTGAAATCCACAGCCACTTCCTCAAAGGTCACCTGAAGAAAAACAACTACTGATCCATGAGCAGGAAATACCCCAACAAAAAAAGACTGGAGTTAGCCGAATTGGATATCACTATTTAGACAAGGCATTCAGGGTGGGCATCTTTCATTCACAGAGGGATTTTTCCATGTCCAGGGCGAGGGTCAGGAATAGCCAGCCCTCCAGGGATCCTTCCCCTCACCTGATCCAGCCCCACTGAAGCTTCACCAAGAGCATCAAAATCAAGAGATGGGCTCGTTCCTTCTCCTATGAGAGACACAAAAGGAGAAAGCTGAAACATGGAGCGTTCTTTCTATTTCTAATGTACGTTTTTCCACACACACCAAAACACAATACAAACTCACCCAGAGAAAAGTGAGACTTGGAGCAGTTTGGCGAACATCTTTAGGAATGTATTGTCGAAGGCTTTCATGGCCGGAATCACTGAGTTGTTGTAGGCTTTTTCGGGCTATATGGCCATGTTCTAGAGGCATTCCTTCCTGACGTTTCGCCTGCATCTATGGCAAGCATCCTCAGATGCTTGCCATAGATGCAGGCAAAACGTCTGCAGAGAATGTCTCTAGAACATGGCCATATAGCCCAAAAAAACCTACAATAACCCATCTTTAGGAATATATGTAAACCATAACAGAAAGAATCAGCTTGAGGATTTCTACAGGACCCCACAATATTTGGTAATGTATTTACATCTCTGAAGCTTTTCTCCGATTCTCTAATCACACAGACTGCAAGATAATGTACCATGGTGTACAGCATTAAATACATAAATGAAACCGAGTACTGTTTAAAATTAGTTTCAATGCTTAAAAATGCTAATTAAAAGTACATAGAAAATATTTTGTTCCCTTGATAGATCACTTTAAGTTTCACATGAAAATCTATTTTACATTCTCATCAGAGAAGGAAATGAGAACCTCTTTAAAGGTTCTGCTCTGAAACCACAGATATACAAAATGCAACAGAAATGAAATTTCTTAGAACCCCCAATAAAGACTAGAGAGGCTCAATAGGAGATTAATGAGAACTGATGCTCCCAGGGGAAGAGGAAGGGCAGCTGGGGGGGGGGGGGGACTGGAAACTGGATGAATACCCCAGAATGCATTCACCATGAGAGAACAATGTCATCAAGAACTCCTTGATATGCTTCTATACATTCATGGGGGAGAAGGGTTTTTTTTTTCTGGCACCCCAGGGGGGACTCAAAACGGTTTACGACCAATAATGGCATAATTCAATACCTCACATACATAAACACCAAATCTTAAATTTAAACAAAACATATAATTATGCATTAAAATCAATAAGACAATTAACCACAAGATAAAACAACATGGAGACATAAAAATTAAAACCACCTAATAAAAACATTAAAATCACATTATCCAATCTCATAGACCAGGGCCATTCCAAATGTCAATTGCACATATTTCATATTTACTTCTTGTACTGCATTATTTTACTAGTCAAAAACTTTTCTTCCTTATATATTTATGTTTTCAAAGTGCTGGTATGTATAACTGTTAAACAACACATAACCCATGTGACCCAGACATATGTGAAGAAGGGGAGCAAAACAAGAGTGTGTTTCTCCTTACCCAATGTGGTGGAGAAGCTGTCACTATCCAGCATGATCTCAGACTTGATCTCAGACAGACAATTCACTGCCTCAGTCACTGGTTCCACAAACAAGTCCTTCACCAGAAAAAAAAACCATGAAGAAGCACATTAAGAAAGATAAGAAATGAGAAAAGAATGGAAGAGGACAAAGTTAAGGCTGCCATCCTTACTTTGAATGATTTACAAAAAAAAAAAATTGATATATGATATGGAGTTTTAAAATGAACTCCAAAATAAATCTGCGCAGTCCTTTGAAATGACCAGGCTGACTCCCTCTCACCTGCTGCTCCTTGCTCTGTCTGCGTTCCTCTGCTTGGCTGAGGAGGAATCCTTCTGCCAGGGCCACGGCCTGGGCGCTGCTCTCCGCCCCGCACTCCCTCACCCAGCACGCCATCTCCGCAGGAAGAACGGACACGAACTGCTCCAGCACCACCAGGTCCAGCATCTCCGCCTTGGTGTGTCTTTCTGGCTGGAGCCACTGGCGGCAGAGAACATGGAGCTGACTGCAAAGTTCTCGGGGCCTCTCCACCTCCTTGTAGCAGAACTGCCTGAAGCTCTGATGCTGTCTGTCCACACGGAGCATTTCCACCCCCATGCTTTTCTGCATGGTTCTTTCACAAAAGACCCCATTAAATTTATCCTGAATGAGAGGAGGGCCTTTTCCCAGGTTGGGTTGCACAGAGTCTTGCCCTCCCATCATTTTGGCAAGATTTCCCACCAATTCCAGATTCTCCTGCAAGACAAAAAGATTGGGGACAGAAAGATAGGAAAATAAAAATGAGCGAGCTGTCTGCTGAGAGAGCTATTTATTTATTTTTATTTATTTATTTATTTACAGCATTTATATTCCGCCCTTCTCACCCCGCAGGAGACTCAGGGCGGATTACAGTGTACACATATATGGCAAACATTCAATGCCAATTTTGACTTACAACATATACAGACATACACAGAGGCTATTTAACTTTTTCTGGCCAACAGGGGAGCTGTCGCTTTCATCGTCCATCTGTGACACTGATGAAGTACTTCCGCATTCCCCACATGCTTTTGCTGGAGTCTTTTTTATGGCTTCGTAAATTAGTTAATTTAGCCTCCCCACACTTTAAGGTGGTACCTAATTTTCCTACTTGACAGATGCAACTGTCTTTCAGGTTGCAAAGGTCGACAACAGGCTACACAATTGGCTGGAAACCTACTCCAACCCGGGCTGGCTTTGAACTCATGACCTTTGGTCAGAGTGATCTTAATGCAGCTGACACTCAGCCAGCTGAGCCACAATCCCGGAAGATATTTCAGAATAATACTCAAACTAGAAACAGACCATAATAAAGAACATTGTGCCATATGTAAGCCACCTGAGTCCCTTTGGGGAGATGGAGGTGGGGTACAAAAATTAAATTGTTGTTATGATTATTATTATTATTCACTTGCCTACCCTCTGGTGACAGCGAATGGAAATAAGTTGCTTTGAGTTTCTCTTAAGAGAGAAAAAATTGGACATGAATAAATATAATAAATAGTACCGTATTTATTTATTTCATTTATTTTATTTCTATAATAATAATTTATTTGATTCATTTACTTCATTTCTATAGTAATAATTATAAAAATTATAGCAATAATGCTAAAGTAATAACTATTTTATTCCTTACTGGCTGAGCCTGGGAAAATCCCCTGTTGAGAGGTGTTAAGATGTGCCTGGTTGTTTCCTCTGCTGTTTTGCTGTTGTAATTTTAGAGTTTTTTAATACTGGTAGCCAGATTTTGTTCATTTTCATGGTCTCTTCCTTTCTGTTGAAATTGTCCACATGCTTGTGGATTTCAATGGCTTCTCTGTGTAGTCTGACATGGTGGTTGTTGGTGTGGTCCAGCATTTCTGTGTTCTCAAATAATATGCTGTGTCCAGGCTGGTTCATCAGGTGCTCTGCTATGGCTGACTTCTCTTGTTGAAGTAGTCTGCAGTGCCTTTCATGTTCCTTGATTCGTGTTTGGGCAATGCTGCGTTTGGTGGTCCCTATGTAGACTTGTCCACTGCTGCATGGTACACGGTAGACTCTGCAGAGGTGAGAGGATCCCTCTTGTCCTTTGCTGAACGTAGCATTTGTTGGATTTTCTTGGTGGGTTTGTAGATTGTTTGTATGTTGTGTTTTCTCATCAGCTGTACCATTCAGCTGTGGACAAGTCTACAGAGGGACCACCAAACGCAGCATTGCCCAGACACGCATCAAGGAACATGAAAGGCACTGCAGACTACTTCAACCAGAGAATTCAGCCATAGCAGAGCACCTGATGAACCAGCCTGGACACAGCATATTATTTGAGAACACAGAAATGCTGGACCACTCCAACAACCACCATGTCAGACTACACAGAGAAGCAATTGAAATCCACAAGCATGTGGACAATTTCAACAGAAAGGAGGAAACCATGAAAATGAACAAAATCTGGCTACCAGTATTAAAAACTCTAAAATTACAACAGCAAAACAGCAGAGAGGAAACAACCAGGCACATCTTAACACCTCTCAACAAAAGATTTTCCCAGGCTCAGCCAGGCCTTCAAATGCTAATGAAGGTGGTCAGTTGAAACATTCACACCTAGCTCCAGCAGAGAAGAGCTCTTTGCCCCACCCTGGTCATTCCACAGATATATAAACCCATTGTCCTAATTCCAACAGACCTCACTACCTCTGAGGATGCTTGCCATAGATGCAGGCGAAACGTCAGGAGAAATGCCTCTAGAACATGGCCATATAGCCCAAAAAAACCTACAAGAACCTAGTGATTCCAGCCATGAAAGCCTTCGACAATATAATATTTGATTTATCTACTTCATTTCTATAATAGTAATACATTGTATTCATTATTTCATTTCATCTATTTCTACAGTAATAATAATTCATTGCATTCATTTCCTTCATTTCTATAATATAATTCACTGTAGTCAATCATTCATTTCTATAATAATAATAATAATAATAATTCATTGTATCAATTTACATCATTCCTATATTTGCTTGATTCGTTGTATTCATTTCTATAATGATATATTGCATTTATTTACCTCCTTAATACAATAATAACACATTGTATTTATATCATTTCCATAATATATTGCATTTATTTGCTTAAATTCTACAATAATAATAGTAATAATATAGTTCATTGTATTTATTTCATTTCTAAACTACTACTACTACTTACTACTACTACTATTTTGTTGTATTAATTTCCTTCATTTCTATCATCATGTTTTATTTTGTTCATTTATATTTCTGTAGACCTAATAATGATGTATTGTATCCATTTACTTCATTTCTATCCTCAACAACTCAACACAATTTTGAAAACAAGGCCAAGACAAACATTAAAAGAAACAAAAAAAAATTAAATATGTGTGTCATGGATACAAAAGATAAATAGCTATTTAATTACAGAATTCCCCTCAGAAGAGTCTCCAGCTACCTGTAGGTTTATTGCTGTCACACCTTTAACACACAGGCCACTCACCTGAGAGAGCTGCAGCAATATGCACTACATTAGGAAGATGCAGGCACAAATAGCCGGAAGGGGCGTGGCCACGGGAGGCAGCCAGTAAGAGAGCAAGACCAACCGGAAAGGGAGGGGCCAAGGGCAAGAGTGACAGCCGAGGAAGCTAGGAAGTGTCTCTTTCCCAGAAGCCAATCTGGAAGAGGACAATCTATCCATACCTACTACCAATCAGTAGCGATATGCAAATCTTATCCGGCGTTCCACCAATCAGCACTCGCTCTAAACATTCCACAATCTGCAGGAGGACAAGCTATCCACCCCTACTACCAATCACTAGCGATATGCAAATCTTATCCGGCGTTCCACCAATCAGCACTCGCTCTAAACATTCCAACCTTCCCCCTCCATTGTCCCTAGTAATAATGCTTTCTTTTCCCAGCCTATGGCGCCACAGTGCCACCTACAGGTCGGACAGGATAGCTCAGCCCAAGCGGTACAGCAAAGCAAATTGTGCAAAGTCTGGGTTGTTGTGAGTTTTCCAGGCTGTATGTCCATGTTCCAGAAGCATTCTCTCCTGACGTTTCGCCTGCATCTATGGCAGGCATCACCAGAGGTTGTGAGGCCTGTTGGAAACTAGGAAAATGGGGTTTATATATCTGTCTGGGTTGTTGTGAGTTTTCCAAACTGTATGTCCAAGTTCCAGAAGCATTCTCTCCTGACGTTTCACCTGCATCTATGGCAGGCATCCTCAGTAGTGAGGCCTGTTGGAAACTGGGAAAATGGGGTTTATATATCTGTCTGGGTTGTTGTGAGTTTTCCAAACTGTATGTCCATGTTCCAGAAGCATTCTCTCCTGACGTTTCGCCTGCATCTATGGCAGGCATCCTCAGAGGTAGTGAGGCCTGTTGGAAACTAGGAAAATGAGGTTTATATATCTGTCTGGGTTGTTGTGAGTTTTCCAAATTGTATGTCCCTGTTCCAGAAGCATTCTCTCCTGAAGTTTCGCCTGCATCTATGGCAGACATCCTCAGAGGTAGTGAAGCCTGTTGGAAACTAGGAAAATGAGGTTTATATATCTGTCTGGGTTGTTGTGAGTTTTCCAAGCTTCATGTCTAAGTTCCAGAAGCATTATCTCCTGATGTTTCGCCTGCATCTATGGCAGGCATCCTCAGAAGTAGTGAGGCCTGTTGGAAACTAGGAAAATAGGGTTTATATATCTGTGGAATGTCCAGGGTGAAGAAAGAACTCTTGTCTGTTTGAGATAGGTGTGAATGTTGTATGAGCATTGAATGGCCTGGCAGTTTCAAAGTCTGGCTTCTTACTGCCTGGGGGAATCCTTTGTTGGGAGGTGATTAGCTGGCCCTGATCATAACAGCAAATAAAGAACAACACTCAAAAACAAGGGAATTCCAGACAAGAAACTATCAGGAATAGCTAATCACCTCCCAACAAAAGTTTCTCCAAGGCAGTAAGAAGCCAGATCTTGTAACTGCCAGGTCATTAAATGCTAATTAAATGGACCCCTCTCCCCCCCAGCATCAACTGCTGCTCTGGGCCAGAGTGAAGAGGGGGTGGGCAGAAGACAGTCCCACCTTGGAGGAGACCTTGAGGAGCTGAATTTGGTGAGAAAAGAAAAAAAAAACCAGGAAAGGAGGTGGAGTGCTGCTGCTACCGCTATTACATCGCGCTCCCTCTATTTACCAATTCACCAACTTGCCGTTAATGCCTTCGCCAGTCACTGATCTTACCATCGTTGACAGGGCCTTCTCGGTGATTGCTCTCCGGCTACGGAATTCCCTTCCTGGTGTGATCAGATCGGCCCCCTCCCTCCTGTCCTTTAGGATGGTAAAAACTTGGCTGTGGGACCAAGCTTTCAGAACAGGGCAATAAAGCAGCAATAGGAAAGATTACTAGGCCAATTAGATTTGACATGGATGACTAGGACAGTTTTAAATGGTGTATTTTAATATTTGGATAAATGTTTTTAATGTTTATGTATGTATATAAGAATCTGTGTCCTGGCATTGAATGTTTGCTGTATATATGCTGTGCTCTGCTCTGGGTTCCCTTAGGGGTGAGAAGGGCGGAATATAAACGTTTTAAATAAATATTAGAGGCTTCATTATTCATGCCTCAGCTAATATGGCCTCCACCTGCTATTGCTGTTCCTGCTCTCGGCTGTGATTAGTGTTCCCTTGCCATTTTGCGGTTCGCTTTTCGCAGACTCGCTGTTTCGTGGTTTTTCAATAAGTACAGTAATGTATATATTTACACTGGAGCTGCGCCTCTCCTTGCCATGCGCATTGTGGGAGATGCCAGTCCAGGAAGCTGCCTCCTACAGATGCCCCACCTGCCTAACTCTCCACTGCAGATGGGAGCCCTTCCTGATTGAAAGCGGGAGAAGGAAGGAAGGGAAGGATGATGGACAGGTCCAGAGGGGTGAAAGGCAGGTGGATCGGGAGGGAGGAAGGAGGGGGGACCCATATGACATCACGAGACCAACCCAGTACAGGGACAGAAAGGCGGGAGAGGCGTCAAGCTCCCTAAAAAGAAACTGGTGTCAGGATATACCCAGCGGATGAATACAAAAACAAAAGTAGGACTTGAGCAGCAGCATCTTGAGACGCTGCTTGCTGATGCGAGATTGTAAATACACACACACACGCATACAGTATCCCTACTTTGTGGATTTTCACTTTTCGTGGGTGGTCCTGGAACGTAACCAGAAGTTGCAGATTCCATCAGCGCTGCCTCTGGAAAATCCTGCAAATCTCTTGGGAAGACAAGTGGACAAATGTCAGCGTGCTGGAAGAAGCAAAGACCACCAGCATCGAAGCGATGCTCCTCCTCTGGCCACTTTGTCCAGATGCCTGACCACCGTCTCCCAAAGCAGTTGCTCTACTCCGAACTCATGAATGGAAAACGGAATGTTGGTGGACAGGAAAAGAGATTTAAAGATGGGCTCAAAGCCAACCTTAAAAACTCTGGCATAGACACTGAGAACTGGGAAGCCCTGGGCCTTGAGTGCTCCAGCTGGAGGTCAGCTGTGATCAGCAGTGCTGCAGAATTTGAAGAGGCACGAATGGAGGGCGAAAGAGAGAAATGTGCCAAGAAGAAGGTGCGTCAAGCCAACCCCGACCAGGACTGCCTTCCACCTGGAAACCAATGCCCTCACTGCGGGAGACGATGCAGATCAAGAATAGGGCTCCACAGTAACCTACGGACCCACCCTGGAGGATTATCCTACTTGGACAACGAGGGATTGCCTAAGTAAGTAAGTAAATGGAACGTAACACCCGTGATAAATGAGGGAACACTGTACTCCTGTCTGCTCCATCATGCATTGTTGCCCTCTTGCTGCTCTTATTCTCTATCGTGGTGTGCAGAGGCTGATTCTTTCCGAGCCTTAGTAACATCTACCTTTGCTGCCACTTTACACCTACCTCTTGGCCATACCATTGCCGCCAGCTGCATTCGGAGCTGTCCTCCATTGCAGCTCCCTCAACACCCGCCATCCGTGATGACAACTTAGGAAGATTGGTCTATGGGCCTGAGCTGCTTTGGGACTGGGAGGGTGCCTTCACCTTGTGCTTATTTTTATATACTATCAATCTAATAAATTGTACAAGTGACTTGTAAGCTGCACTGAGTCCCCTTTGGGATGAGAAGGGCAGCATAGAAATGTTGTAAATAAATTCAAAATAAGTAAGTGAATGTTTGCCGTGTATGCATTCTGTGATCTGCCCTGAGTCCCCTTCGGGATGCGAAAGGCAGAATATAAATGCTGTAAATAAATAAATAAATGAATCCTAAAGATTCTCATCAACTTTTCCAAATCGAAATTCTCTCCTCCTGGTGAAATTTCATTGTGGATATTTTCCTACTACACCTCTTCCCACACCCCAAGAATTTAATAGCCCCCCACAATCCATCATAAAAAATGAGGTCTATCTTCTTTCAGTACTCCGAGGTGGCAGCATTGGGGCCGGCAAACTATTTGTAGGCTGAGAGAAACACTGCAGTCTTTGGGACCCTAACTGCTAGCAACGGTAAAAAGAAAATGCTATATTGGGCATCCATTGTTGTTGTTCATTCGTTCAGTCGTCTCCGACTCTTCGTGACCTCATGGACCAGCCCACGCCAGAGCTCCCTGTCGGCCGTTACCACCCCCAGCTCCCTCAAGGTCAGTCCAGTCACTTCAAGGATGCCATACACCACAAAATAGCAAACAAAATAGCATCCATACACCACAAAATAGCAAACGTCCTCCTACACTGCCTTCAAAAGAGACTGGATGTGATAGATATCTCTTCCAGTCATTCGAAACGGCACATGACATTGTTCAAAAGACTTCTGGTGATGGGGCCAGTTCAGCTCTGTTGTTTGTCGATCCCTGATTTTAACTGCTATCCCCTTCTCGTAAGTTGCATGGCAGCAAATGGGGTGTACTTTTTGAACGAATTTCTTTCCACATCCCAAGGTTTGAAGTAGTTTCTTCCCTGTAGGAACTGCTTGAGGACATATGAGGCTGATTATTTATTTACAGCATTTATATTCCACCCTTCTCGCCTCAAAGAAAAGGCGGATCACAGTACACATACATGGCAAATAACCAGCTGTGCTAAAGCCCGGCCTTGCCTTACCTTTTTGTATTGCATTGATTTTATATTGATTTTATAATGCTGATTTAAATGTTTTAATTGTATATTGTGAATTGTTATGGCATCAAATTGCTGCCAAATTGTAATCCGCTTGAGTCGCCTTCGGCTTGAGAAAGGTGGGATAGAAATATCGTAAATAAATAAATAAACAACCTTCAATGCCGCTAAACAGACAGGACAGACAACAGATAGAGCAGTGGTTCTCAACCTGGGGTCCCCATATGTTTTTGGCCTTCAACTCCCAGAAATCCTAACAGCTGGTAAACTGGCTGGGATTTCTGGGAGTTGTAGGCCAAAAACATCTGGGGACCCCAGGTTGAGAACCACTGAGATAGAGGTATTATGTCAGCATTTTTTGCCAACTTTGGCATCCTAGAGGTTGTGCTTGATTCGAGCCACAGCGGGGTGCTGTCGCTGCATCTTCTATGATGAAGAGTCCTTTATCAC